CCAACCTCTGCTTTCAAACTTCTAAGGAAGGAGAGCCCACAACCTCCCAAGGGAGTCCGTTCCACTGTCTAACAGCTCTCACTGTCAGAAAGTTATTTTCCGAATATTTCGTCTATATCGCCTTTCTTGTAACTTGAAGCCATTGGTTCAAGTCTGACCCTCCGGAGCAGGAGAAAGCAAGCTTGCTCCATCTTCCACGTGACAGCCCTTAAGATATTTGAAGACAGATATTGCATCTCCTCTCAGTCTCCTCTTTTCCACGCTAAACATACCCAACTCCCACAACTGTTCTTCATAAGGCTTGGTTTCCAGACCTTTGATCATCTTGGTTGCCTTCCTCTGCACGTGTTCCAGTCTGTCAATATCCTTCCTAAATTGTGGAGCCCAGAACTAGACACAAGACTCCAGGTGGGGTCTGACCAAGGCAAAACAGAGCATGACTACTGCTTCCCATGATCTGGACACTATACTTCTGTTGATGAAGCCTAGAATAGCTTTAGCTTTTTCTGCTACTGCATCATACTGTTGACTCATGTTAAGCTTGTGGTCCACCAAGACCCCTAGATCCTTTTCACATGTACTGCTAGTAAGCCAGTTGTCCCTCATCTTGGGGGACAAAGAGCCTGGCCTGGTAAAAAACAGCTTCCAATGTTTTTGCTCATCTCCTCATCTTTAGACACAGAATTCCGTGTCAACATTTGTCAACCACAGTGGAGCAGGCTGTACAAGTAACCCACACTGGGCAATGTATCATTGAGTCTGAGAGTGAAGAAAATTTGTATAGCTGCTGCACATTCACGCTACATCTTTATGTCCTCTGTGTCCAACAACAGAATGACTGAACCCAGACGTCTTCTATTCAGCAAGCTGGCTGATCATTCTTCAAATCAATTCCATTTGCCTGATACCAAACAGGCCTCCAGTCAAAACGATCTCCCTTCGAGCAGAGGGAAGCAAGGCTCCCTTTTTATTTGGCTCCCAATGTGTGCTGTCTTTGTTGCACGACACAAGAGCTTCTGACAAGTGCTAGAATAATAGATATGCATTCAATTATTCAGAGCGGGGAAGGTAGGCCAAAGATAATTCTTACGGCGCTGTGTAATACTGTTTCATTTGTAAGAAGGAAGACAATGTGCAGAGTAGCTGTTAAGTAATTCAGTTTGATCTTCCCCAGCGCAACTAACATTCGTTACTAAGCGCTGAATTTTAATGGGAATGCTCTCCAGTTGACTTATAGAGCAATCAGAAGATGGCATGTAAAAAAGCTGTAGGTTTTCTTCTAAAGTCACCATAGGGGAAGCGGCTGAACTCAAAAGCCAGTGTACCAAAAAAATCAAAACAAAAACCTCACAGCCACAGTGACCTGCAAGAAAAGGTTAACCAGCAGTTCAGCTGCTGTAAGACGAAGAAGCTGAAAAGTTAAGCGTCCATCACAGGACAATGAATCGTAGCTCAAAAAAACCCAGCTCAACTGCAACCTGGAAATGTGAATGCGTCTCCTGCTATGAAAATTGCTTTCTTTACAACAACAAAAATTGTCTAACAAACATATCCAAGAAAAGAACTGTGATATAGTTGTTTGTTTGAGTGACCCAATTTCACTGCTGAACAAACATTTGCAGGTTGTCTTCCAAGCGTCGAGCAACCACCACCATCCCAAAAATAGAAACGAGGGAAATGGCAACTACCCTCCACTTGATGAGAAGAGTGCAGGGTCTCTCTCGCCTGTGTCCCAACCAGAACCGCTAGTGATGAGAGTTTAGTCCAACAACATCTGGAGGACCTCAGGGTCCCCAACCCTGTTAAGACTGAGGAGACCTCAGCCCATAATCCACTCAGTCATGAAGCTCATTTGGTGACCCTGAGTTAGTCATTCTCCTGCTCACCTACCTCACAAGGTTGTTGTGAGAATAATCTTGCACATTCCTCTGAGTGCTCATTAGAGGAAGAGTGGGACAAAAATGTAATAAAGATATAAAATGTTGTTAAATTATTAGAGCCCTGAAGGCCCAAGAGGGAGGAAAACACATGAAAAGCACCAAGGAGAATGCCCCACAGATCCCTTATGTCACAAATGACTCCCCAAAAAGTAGGTTTTTAATGTCCAACTACAATTTGTTGAGTAAAGGGAGACAGGTGGGAGAAAAAGGCCTCCACTTTTGAACCACTTTTGAACCAGATTTTACCTAAAATCTGTCCCATGCAGACTGGGAGGAGGGCAGCTAAGTACGGTGGAACCTCGGTTTTCGAATCAGTAATCCGTTCCGGAAGTCCGTTCAACTTCTGAAATGTTTGAAAACTGAGGATCAAAGGGCTGTCGGCAAAGTGAATGGAAAAAATTGAGAAACGCGCCTTGGAAGCCATTCAACTTCCGAGGCGTGTTCGAAAACGGAAGCATTCACTTCCGGGGTTTTGGCGTTTGGCTTCCGAAATGTTCAGCAGCTGAGACATTCGAAAACCCAGGTTCCACTGTACACTTGCTCTGGACATTGGAAGGCTAAGTTGGGCAGGGGGGTGCCAGTGACTGGCTGTTTGTTTGTTTGTTGAGTTTTTAACATTATTTTAACAAGACTCCCATCCCGGACCTTGGACAAGTTCTCAATGGGCCTGGCTAAAACGTAGCTAATGAGAGCAAAGTAGAAGAGCTTATTCTCTCTCTGGCTGCTCCTTTTACCTCTCTAGGGAGTCCTACCTTGCATATCAAGACCCATAGCTGGTACGCTGTGAAAGATACCATTGTGTCAACGGATTCGTAGCGTTTTCAGGACTTGGGTGTCTATGCAGTCTGAAAATAAACTATGAACTCATCTATAGCCTAATTGCCACATTTTGCAATGCAAGCCGCAGTCAAGAGATATTTATTTTATTCATTAAATAGACATGTATGGTATAAGCTCTATGCTATACACACCAGCTAATGAATAAAATAAATATTCCAGACTGGTGCTTATAACGCAAAATGTGGCAATTAGCATCCAAACACAGCAACGGGTAAGGCTATTGCTCATACCACTGGTATTCATTAGGCAGCTGTTAAGGGTCAATTTGGATGCAGAACATGTTTAATGGAACACATTACTGGTGTGGATAGATGTTTAAAGATAGGAGCTTCCCTCTCCTGCAGCTGTCCACATTTTCAGATTACTTTCGCATGCTTCAGACACATACATCCCACCACAGTCGCATAGCCTAGTTTCCAAACCAATTCTCCCATTTTCCAGCTCCTTTCTACACACATACAAGCAGCAGCAGTGTCAATGTTGTGTTGTTCTTGTTGCCACAGAGGTGTTTGGCAAGGCTGACCTCAAGGATACGGAAAAAGAACCAAGGGAACAAAGCTGCAACAACATCCCTGTAGGAAACGCAAGGGCTCCAGGCCGCCTTTCTTGACACATTCGCTCGTTCATTCATAAAATCTATAGTGTCTTGTCTCCTCTCTAGGCAATACTGCTCAACAGCGGCCAACAAAGATCCAATCTATAAAATGCAGTAAATAAATGTGTATCCAATTAAGTCCTACTCAGAGCAGACCTATCAAAATTAAGGGACCTGAGATAGAAATGTTGATTAATTTCAGTGGGTCCACTCCAAGGAGGAGTAGCTGGATACAACCCCAAAACAACTTTTAAAAGCCAGAATAAGCCAAAAGCCAGTTGAAAAAGCAACAATGGCATTGTACATGTCAGAAAGGAAGAACTTTGAAAGAAATTGAAAGGAAGAAATTGAACCAGAATTTGAAGGTGGTGCCACAGAGAAAGCCATTTTCTGCATCTCCACTAACCTTAATTCAGAAGACAGGTGCATGCGCAAGTGCCTCCCCTCCACAACAATAGTCCTTAACAGGTAGGCAAATTTACATGGGAGCAAGTGGTCCTTCAAGTAGCCTATTTCCAAACTATACCAGACAAAGTAAATTTCCAAACCAACTGTGAACGCCTAAAGAGGTTCCTTGGGAGATTGGGCAAGGCTACCTAGAGACTATACCATCAGCTGAAAGCCTCCACACTTGCTGAAAAGTATACGTTGTGCATGTCCCCATTTACTTTTTTTTAGTTACTACAGATATGCTAACTCTTGCCCAGTCCACGGAGAACTTGCAACCAGCAAGCCTTTACCCCACCTTAGCAACAGACAACAACTGCATGGCAGCGAGATTAATTCAGCCTTGTAAATAAGCCACAAAGTTACAGGCCTGCGAAGAGGCTAGATTACTGCACTGCCATGTTGGACACAGAAGAGGGGAACCATCTTTTCTGTGTCCAGCATAGAAACCTGGGATACCAGTCACTAAGCAGAGGTAAATAATAATGATTTTATTCTAGGAAGTATGCTAATAGAGGAGGGTCAGAGGTGAAGGACTGACTTTCCTTCCACCAAGCTAGAGGGCACAGAGTGTTGCATCCCACTCGCTCACTCGTACTGTATTTTATTTTCTTATTGCCTAGGAAGTTGTTAAATGCAAGGCTGGGTAAGCAATAAGGACAGATGGTTGGAAAGGGAATACAAGGGTAGTAGAATCTTCTTCCTCTTATTCTCACAGTACTGATGAGGAAAATTCTCCGGGAGCTCAACATTATAAAAAAAATACTTGCGTAAAATACTAACATCTCATCAGTGTTACAATGCAAAAACTAGCATTCATTTCCAATTCTCAGCGGTTGACTTTTTATCCTAATCCTGGTGTCAAGAACAAAGACAAGAGTAATTATTTGAGACTATAAATCAATTCCATTAAGCTGAACATTTACCAAGTCATGACATCAAATTAAATTGGCAATTAAATAGGCTAACATGACATTTCAAGTTCTCTACAGCGAGCACCACACTGTTTACCTCAACACATTCTCAGGATCTTCATATATATATTTTTTTAAATGAATCAATACATTGGGTGCAACATGACAACTTGTAACACATACAGGGTACTTTATTAAGCATTTAATTATATTGTTTCTTACTGATGCCTCTCAAAGTTGTTTAAGGCTGGAACATTAACTTACCACAGTCATTAGAAGCTTATCAAACCACTGCAGTTTGAGCTCTGATTTCGGCCACATGTCTGGCCGTAAAGCTGTCTTCAGAAGGTTGACACAACGTCGAGAAAGCAGTTCTCCTGGAGAGCCAGCCGTGTTTGAGTTGTCATTTACCTAGAAATTTAACAAGAATAATTACTAAGTAGCAAATACTATTATTATTGTTGTTGTCAATATTACAACGACAGCAACAATAATTTCTATACCACGCTTCCTCTAAGGATCACAGGGCAATTTACAATATAAAAACACATAAACACAAAAAATACCATGGTAACAAACAAATCAATACCCCCCCCCCCAAAACACAGAGTTTTAAAGGCTCTGCAGAAGTTGCTGGACTATAACTCCCATCATCCCACTGGCCATATTGGTTAGCACTGATGGGCATTGGAACCCAGCCACTGCAGGGCCCTAGGCTGCCCATCCCTGCTGTATAGAGAGGGCCAGAAGATGACAAGCTAGACTTGCATGCTGAAGTAGACTCCCCCTGCAGACAAGCCCATCATTTAGCAAATGCAAACAAAAAGGGAATTGTTACTATGAATTATCGTTTGTGGGTCTGAACAGAGGACACTTCGCTGAAAGGAGGCCCAGCGAGCTATTATTCCTGCTTCTGTGTGCTATAGGGGTTGCTCCCCAACTAGAAGGCACAAAATGTATAAAAAGCTCTCCAGGGCCCAGAAGAAGAGCAGATTCACCCCACAACGCCTGCTTCAGTGGTGGCCCAAAGGATACAGGAGGTGGAAGGATGTGCCTGTTTGGACCGAAGGGGCCAAGTAGGAGAAGACCTCTTAGAGGTGGAGGTGGAAGGAGATCTCCCAAACCTGCTCCAAGGTTTGTGAGATATCCTCCATTTCTAGGCCATGGGATGCTTCTTATGCATTTTGCGTTTTCTTCTGGCCAGGGAGCAACCCCTATGATGCATAGAAGCAGAAGGAAATAGCCCCCTGGACCTCCTTTTGGGTAAATCATCTCCCACAGGGCAGCCCCCAGTGGCACCACCACCAAGAAGGTCTCACTGTACGGTCCAAGATGGCTGGTACCGGAGAAAGCACTCTCTTAATTGCAGCTGCTCTGGTTACAGTTTAATTACAGAGCACAGTGTCGGAAGACGAGATTAGCAGAAACAAGGTAGAGGTTGGTATGCTCATTCTAAGCTTTTATTAAGCAGTATATACAGTGATCATGGCCTCCTCTCGCTTCAGCTCCGAGAGAGAACACAAAGTAAAAAGTCCAAAAACACAACAGAGCGGAAGTGATAAGGTTAGCTTCCCTTCTCAGGCTTTCCAAGTCTAGAAAGTAAACACAGACATGTGGTGTAACAGTCACACATCAGCAACGGAGGAGTGAAATGCTAACACACAGTTCCTCAGCCTAGTCTTTCTCATCACCTCCTTCCTATGTTAGGCATCCCAGTGGGGATAAGAAGCAATGCATTCTGTAGCCTGCAAAGAAGTCCCTACTCCACACGGCCTATGGAAAGTCCAAGGGAGGAGAAGAGCAAATGGAACACTTCAGATCTCCCTTCAATGGAACAGTGATGCTGTCTTTTCACACCAATCAAGCAAATCATACTGAAGAGAAGTGCACAGTACCTGGCAAGCAATTCTAATGAGGAAGTTGATGACCGTATCGGTGTGTTGCTTGTCAATGGGTTTTGAAAGGAGCGCATCAGCTCCAGGCAGCGATTGGCTGCGTCCGAATACCTGAAGAAGAAGAAGAAGACTAATAAAGCAGCACATCTGAAAGCACATTTGAAGTGAAAAAGGGACGGCAATTTGCTGCGTCCTTGTTGAAACATGCACAGTTCACCAAGAAGATATGAAAAGAAGTACAGGTACAGTGGTGCCTCGCAAGACGAAATTAATCCGTTCCGCGAGCGTCTTCGTCTTGCGGTTTTTTCGTCTTGCGAAGCACGGCTATTAGCGGCTTAGAGGCTATTAGCGGCTTAGCGGCTATTAACAGCTTAGCGGCTATTAACGGCTTAGCGGCTTTAAGAAAAAGGAAACAAACTCGCAAGAACTCGCAAGACGTTTCGTCTTGCGAAGCAAGCCCATAGGGAAATTCGTCTTGCGGAACGACTCAAAAAACGGAAAACCCTTTCGTCTAGCGAGTTTTTCGTCTTGCGAGGCATTCGTCTTGCGGGGCACCACTGTATAGTTGAATTTTGTCTGCAAGGAAATCGGGGGGGGGGGGGGGAGTGACCCTTACTGCACTTATTGCGCCCGTCGCAGTCCTGAACCGCTTCACTTCTTGGCCTGAATCGACCGAAAGCCCCCTCTTCACAGCAGATGAGGCGGAACTGGCTCCTTCGCTACTGGCACCCTGGTCCATATCGGAATCCGGCTTTTGGGGAGGTGGGGAGAGAGGAGATAGAAGCGCCAAAGAAATTGAACTCAATATGGGATTTCTATAGAAAGGCCAAGGATTCTATACCAGGCAACGAAACAGCTGAAGGCCTCTTACCTGCTGATCTTTGATTCTTTGCAATTCCCATTTGATGACCACTTCTGCCAGGTCCACAGCCAGTTTCCTTTGCTCGATAGTAACACTGGGAGTGAAGCCCAGTCTCTGCATGGCGCTCACCATGTGCTGCACTAAATGGTGCCTCACTGGATAGTAAACCTGTGGAAATTTTCCCCATAATTATTGATATAAACATATATATTTATACCCTGCCTTTTACCTCAATGCAACTTGCAGATAAAATAAGAACAGGTAAAAACATAGAAAAAAACCAATCATTAAACACTATTAAACACACATAATTACCATGAAAACAGCATGGTACCAGTCATTTCATTAAAAGCAGTCCGTTTGCAAAAGCCTCCTAGAATAAGGAGGACTGGAAGCCAATCTAATTTCTCTAGGTAGGGAGTGCCAAAGTCTAGGAGCAGCCACCGAGAAGGCCCTACCAAGCATGCCTGTGAGGGTGGCAGGACCGAGAGAAAGGCCTCCCCCAAAGATCTCAGAACCCAGTTGGACAGCTTGGACCTAAGCAGTGTGCATAGGGCTTTTAGGACATAACCAGCACTTTGAATTGTGCCCAGAAACAGACCAGTAGTAGAGATGCCGTAACAAGGGAGTCGTATGTTTCCTAGAACCAGCCCTAGTCCACGATCTGTCTGCGGCTCTTTGAGCCCATTCACGTTTCTAAACACTTTTCAAAGGCAGCCCCACACGGAGCATGTTACAATGGTTATCTCCCTATATAATGTCCATACCTTCTACAAATATGATTTATCCTTCGGAATTAAGAAGGAAGAGAGTTCTCTCTCCCTTCCTCCATTCTCCTGCCACTGGAGCAAAATTAATGGTAAGTACAGGGGCTGAGAAAAAGATGTAATCTTTATGTTCCCGGGAGGGTGGAGGAATTAGGAATGGACCCCATCGTCGTGCTTCCAATGACAACAGGAGATACAGGAATCCGATATACGCTCAGAAATAATACCAGATATTTTCCAAGTTACAAAAAAGAAAAAACCCATTTCAGTCATTTCCAAGCCTTGGGATGCCCATCCGAGCAAATCTCTGAATAACCCTGCACCACACCTTCTGAATGGCCGGAATGTGCCCTTGAAATTTGATAATGCTTCTTGCTCGCGGGCAGGGGAAAAGGGCATGGATTTTGCATGGCTGTGATGCAGTATATTGTGTAAAGGTAAGAGAGACATCCATCCTTCTGCCCACTTTTGCCTCTGGCCCTGGTATCTCCTGGAAGGTAGGTTGCACAGGAGGCAAAGTTGTGCTTGGAGTGTACAAAGTTCCCCACCCCTGGGCTAAACAGTGTTGGCAACTAGGCATTCATCAGGTGTGGGGCAATGTTGTTTTTCAGTCCAGGCGCCTCAGGTTTTTCTAACTGAGCTGATAAATATGCTTTACAGGTTATGAAGCTGGGAGCCATCTAACTCTTCCTCCTCAATTCAAGCTGTGCAAAGCAGGCCTAGGGATACACTGATTCCACCAGTGCCTTTGAAACCTAGCAGGGTCAGAGCATTACAAGGAAGAGAAAAGCCAAGCTTTCTAGTTTGTATACTGTATTTTAAGTGCCTCTGGCCGATGGATTACAGACCACTTTCATCTCAGGTTTGCGATTCTCTCTTGAGCCCACAAAGAGAGCAAATCTTTGGGGTATTATTCTAAAGTGACAAAAGCGCTTTCGCAGTAGCTCCAAATGACCAGAAACGTTGGGAGAAGGAGTATTCACTGGACCAAGAGCGCAACAGTTCTCGCCCTGCACCAAAATTACTCCCCTGGGCCCTCAGAGGCAATCCAGCCTGAAAATCAACACAAAGTACCCTTACAAAGTGTTCTGTGCTGAAACAAGCCACTCCAAATTTGATTTGTGTTCTCTGGCATTTAAGAACATCTCAGAGGGTTTCTGTGTGCACTGAAAATTTATGCCATGCAAACACCACTGATGAAGTTATTTGGGTCAAGGCCAATCTTAATGCCTAGTATGAGACAGAGAGAACATTATGGCCGGCATCGTATCCATTCATTACACTGTTAATCCATTTTATGGAATAACGTGTGAGGAAGCAGCTTTCAGACTGGCCACTTGCTCAGAAGCAGCTCAACAAGTAATCAGACCGGATGAAAGGGAGCAAGCTCCCAGTCCCCTCCAAATCAATGGCTTATAACCCTCAGAGGAGAGGAGCCCAGTGATGGCAGGCAGAGGGGAAAGAGAACTGGTGGGCAGGATAGGTGCGATTTTCAACCTTGTCCCCTGGTGAGCAGGATTTCTTTGGTGTAATGCTCTCCACAGGGAGGCTCGCCCTGGCACCTTCCTTTCATATCTTTAGGGACCAGGAAAAAAACATTCCTCTTCTCCTGGGCCCTTGGTTAATTAAACCATCCATGGCCTTTTAAACTGTGCTGGTGGGGGGTATTGTTTTCGTAAGTAATTTTGTGTTTCTAGGCTGTAAACCGCCCTGTGATCTTCAGATGGAGGGTTGTAGAGAATTTTAATAAATAATAATGATAAATACCTTGAAGTGCTGGACTATTAAATGCAAAATATGGACCAGCTGGGGAACGGTGTGACCTTCTTCCACTATGATTTTCCTTGTCCAGTGGGTCAGCATCTGGTGGCCATCTTCCATCCGAGCAGGCACTGCTGGCGTCAGAATAGCCATGGCTTGCCGGACAATGGCTCGTGCCTCCATCGCATGAGCCTTCAGGAGGCTGTGAAACACCTGAAGAGGAGGAGAACACAAAGAACTGTATAAAATAAAATCCAGAAAAGGAAATGAAGGTTGTCAATAGGGGGTCTGGACCCACAGCTGAGTCAAGAGGCTACACCAGGTGAAGTGCGCCAATGTTGCTGCTGCCATGTTGGATTCCAACTAAGCCTATCTAGACCAAAGAAGGCCTTCTCGGTAGTGGCACCCTCCCTGTGCAACGCCCTCCCTTCAAATGTCAAGGAGATAACGAATTACATAACTTTTAGAAGACATCTGAAGGCAGCCCTGTTTAGGGAAGTGTTAAATGTTTTTTCTATTTTTTATAGATGTTGTACGTCGCCCAGAGTGGAACCCCAGCCAGATGGGCAGGGTAATAATAATAATAGTAATAATAAACATAAACACTTGTTTTATCAATTTACATGAGTTCTGCAACATACCATTTTTTTAATACGATACATATTTCTGGCCAATTACATGCCCACCTTCCTATATCTATCCTGAGAGAGCGCTGTATGTAGCGGGGGCATCCTGTTCACTTTCCAGTCTATTTCTGCAGCTTTCTAAAAACTTCTCCCAGCATGCAAAATCAATAACTTCTCAGCCTTTCGGCTAAGGTTAAGTGTAAAAAAAACAAACACCGCTTTTCATTTAGTAGTAATGCTAAGCTACACTGCTCTGTGAACTGACATTTTAGGGTTAACAATGTGTATTATTAAGTATAAATCAAAAGTGCAAACATGAAAGTGGAACCCATGTGGTAGATTGTAAGTCAGAGGTGGGTTTTGGGTCCAGACCAGTTAAAGACCACTGTGTATAATTGATAATTTGGCGCTTTTTGTAAAACTACCAAGTGGACAACATAATGGAGGAACAGTCATTTTATTTCCATCCTCCCATGTATTGGAGTGTCTGCTCCAAGATCTTTCCGGCTCCCTGGAATCTTCCTCCAACCACAAGTACTATGATTTTCAAAACACACTTGCCCAGGAGGGTTAGACAATAGGAAGAACGGATTTGTCCACAGAGTTGTCATCATCACAACATTATCTTTGGCCAACTCATGTGAAAGCTGCACAAACAGCACAAACCCGACCACTATTCTCATCATCGTGAATATCTCAAACCCCACCAACCTTTATGTTTTATAGCTAACACTCTTCCGCACCCCTGTCCTAATTAGGTGAAGGGTGGTCTATAAATTCAAACATTCAAAAAATGTCTATCTCTGAGGGCCTTCTGACGGTTTCCCCTACTGCAAGAAGTGAAGTTACAAGGAACCAGGAAGAAGACCTTCTCGGTAGTGGCCCCTGCCCTGTGGAATGCCCTCTCGTCAGATGTCGAAGAGATGAACAACTATATGACTTTCAGAAGACACCTGAAGGCGGCCTTGCAATGGAAAGTTCTAATGTTGGAGTGTTTATTGTGCTTTTAGTATTTTGTTGGGAGATGCCTAGAGTGGCTGGGGCAACCCAGCCAGATGGCTGGCACATAATAATAAAATTATGATTGTTATAATGTATCTGGTACATATGTAGCTATATACGGCCACGAACCTGGATGAATTCAAAACAGGGTGGGACAAATTAATGGAGGACAAGGTTATCCATGGCCACAATCCATGGTTGCAGGTGGCAGTGCTTCTGAATGCTAGTTTTAGAAACCACAGGTGAGATGCTCTTGTGCTCAGCTCCTGCCTGAGGGTTTCGCACGGGCATTTGAGTGGCCATTGTAAGAACAGGATGCTGGGCTAACTGGACCTTTGGCCTGACACCACAAGCTCTTAAGATGTCCACTTAACATGGCTACTTAACCAATGTCCAGTTCCAAAGAATGGGGGGGGGCACGCAGAAAGATTGTGGACACGTTTTAAATATCAATCTACACACACATATTACCTGTAAGACTATCTTCTTGTGAATGGCAAACTTGGCGATGATGTGCGCTAGGAGCAAGTGTCCGCTGTATTTGCAGGCTGGGTCCACGCATGCCTTCGAGAGCAGGCAGGGCCAGGCAAAGGTCATGAGGCGCCGCAGCTTGCTGTTCCGGTTCTTGTTGTTGTCATGAATGTGGTGCGGCGCATGCTCCACGAGAAGAGTGGCAAACTGCAAGAGGTAAATCCTGAGCGAATCGAGCATGTCAGCTTGCTTTTCTGGATCAAGTACCTGACCCCAAAACAGGAAAAGGAAAGGAATTTCAGGATGCATCGCCAAACAAAGTGCAAGGGGCTCAATTCACTAGGAGCTACTGCTAGGAGCTACTGGGAACCTGCAGCTTTGTGCATGGCTGTTCCATGTCTTAAGACCCCAAAGGGCTGGAGAATTTCTCAAGGCAGCAAAGGTTTTCCAGGTAATGGAATGTCTCCAGCCACCCAAGGCTGGCCATAGAGAATCTTCGCACCAGGAAATGCCACAAAGGCTTCCTGATCAAGCTGAGACCTTGCCTTGGAAACAAACGACAGCCCTTACTGATCTCAACTTGACCACCACCCCAACGCCCAGTTTGGGTTTGTTTGCTTTTTCCCCTCCTTAGGCTGAACTACCTTTGTTATAAATACACTGGTGATGCTTTCGGGGTTATCTCCTTCTGGGTTGGGGGGCCCCAGAAGCTGTTCGCCTTCTCCCTTTTCAAAGCTGTGCAAGAAAGCCGGATTCAGAATGTGTTGCAGAACCTGCAGATCGGGGGGGGGGGAGAGAGAAATCATTTATTTGTTTATTTTGAATGGTTTCTGTCCTTTCTCCCTAAAAAGATTAAAGTGGTTCACAATAAAATGAATTAAAAAATCAATAAGATGTAACTATCAAGGTCTCTTCTCCCCTGCCCACCCCTCCCACCCCCCACAATTCTAAGTTAAAATAATGCTTTTAAAAGCAATTGATGACTGATGCTAACCGATAACTAAAAACCTCAACTATTATGGAGAAAACTCTCCAAGTGTATCAGGCTTCTGCCAACTAAGGCTTAACTCCTTGATATCCACTTTCTTCGATCAAATTATGTGCAAGAGGTTAATTATGTGCCACCAAATTAGCAAACCAGCTGCAGATCTCTTATGCTTTCTATGCTTTTATTATGGTCTTTGGCACTGAACAAGCTGTTGCCTCTGCTTCAGAGTAAATATACAGAAACACAGCAACTATGCTTACAGCAAGATATACTACACTAACAACCAGGGCAATTAATTTTAAATTATCTTAAAATTTCAGTGATAAGGATTTTTTAATGCATAACAATGCAAGCAGGAAGCTTCCCTGTTCTCTTCTAAAGTGCCAGATAATTGCAAACTTAGCAGGCAGGACTATGACTGATTAGTGCCAAGAGTCACTGTGGATCCCTCTGGAAATTAAGCTTCTTCCGCCAAAAAAAGAAAGGCTGCAGGCAAACAGGTATGTCAATATTCAAGAATCGGGGCAATCAAATGGAAGTTGAATAATTGTTGACTTCACCCATTATTGCTCTTCTTTAGGCTTGGCATTTTCACAGAAGTAGTTCTGCCAATTATCAAACTCTTGTTGACATTTAAGCAAGCAACTTGCATTGCCCACGGAAATAGAACCTAAAAATACTAACCCGTTTTCATTTAAATGATTTGCTTTACCTTGGCTTTAAGCTCATCTCCAAAGTTGGGATCACTGAAGTCAACAAAGCGGAAGAAGAGTGCCCGTTTTTGGGCAATGGTGTAATTTTTGGGAATCTCCTCTTCCATGTATTCTTTTAAGAAAGTCATGTTGCAGAGGAAACGGCCGGTAAAGGCCCGGAGAAGCTGGAAGAGCAGCTCTATATCACCATAATTCCGCCTAAGGAAAAAGTAAAATATACAAAGCTAAGCAACATCAAGCTAAGAAAGGAGTTCTGAAAAAGACGTGCTCTGTATAATGCTGAAACACCCAAATTTCCAGTGGACACCTTACAAAGAAAGCTAGCTCCTACCAGCTGCCCAGCTAACCCATCATTCTCCTTCCTCACCAGCAAGAAGTATTTCCCCATCACTTGCTCACTCTGGTATGGGAAACTTTGGCCCTCAAGCTGTTGCTGAACTACAACTCCCATCAGACCCAGCAAGCATGGTCAATGGTCAGAGTTGATAGGAGCTGCAGCTCAACAACTTCTCAAGGGCAAAAGGTTTCCCCACACCTGAGCTAAAGTGAAGTCAGCTTAGCTTCCCAACTACCCAAGAGGCCTCTGTTTAACCAGAGCATACATTAGGATGAGGAACCTGTGGCCTTCCAGATGTTGGATTCCAACCCTCATCAGCCCCAGACAGCTTGGCCAGTGGTCCAGGGAACAATGATGGCACCATTTTGGCTGCATAAGGACTGGCACTTGGGAGACTTGGAGAATTGCTATTAGCCTAGATCAGTAACTGCAGGCCTGGGGGCCAAGCACAGCCTTCCGGCCCTCTCTCTCTCGGAACTCTCCCGGGACAAAGCTTTTGCTAGCCCTCCTTCGTGCCCTGAGTGTTTTTGCCTGATTGGAATGTGTCCTTGAACTCTGGCAATGCTTCTTGCTTGTCTAGGCTGAGGACAGAGAGGGGAAGGAGGAGCATCTGTAGAAACGAGCCGCTTGTAATATTTGCATCGATTGCTCCACCCACTTTTGCCTCTGGCCCGCCCACCACTGCCATGTGGCCTTTGGAAGGTTGTCCAGAAGGGAATGCGGCGCTCTTGGCCATGAAAGGTTCTCCATCCCTGGCCTACACGGCAGCATTCGCAGATCGACATACTTGCAGTAATTCAATAAGCAGTACGCCAGCAGCTTTGGTTCCTTCCAGTTTGTGGCTGCCATGTTCTCCTTGCGGTGCCTTTCCTGAAAAGCTTCGCTGACCCACACTCGCCTGAGCTGGCTCACTAAGGAATGCTGGTTCGCCAGCCAGCACTCATCATTCTTCACTATAATACTTATGATCTGTCAAAACAAAAGCAAGGACATGTACGCGGTACTTAAATAGCCCTAAGCGGGTTATTAGTTATGTCCATTTAATGTTTCCTTTCCAGTAGTTCTGGAGAAAGACATTAAGAACTGCTCTCATCTCTTCAAACCATAAGGGAAATGGGATCAAAGCAGGAAGGTGGGGGGGAGGGAGGGAGCAATACAGGAGTGTATCCAGTTTAGAAGAATTTCAAAAGGAGGTCAGACACACACACACAAGTGCTGCCAATCTACTACATATTTTGGAAAGCGGTTTGTTTGTTTTCTATGCATTCAGACGCCTCTTGAGATATCATTGCCAAACCCAGCATGAGGGTTCCTGAGGAGGCAGGAGCAGACTTCGTCAATGTCTGGACACCAGGCACAATTTTAATTCAAGATGGTGGACCAAAATGTGACTTTGGTGTTTTTTGGCACATGTTCAGCTCCCTCTCAATATATAATCACCAAACTCAGCATGAGAGTTCTGGAGGAGGGTGTCTTCACAGTCATTTGGGGGCCAGGTGTCATTTTGAACCAAGATGGTAGACCAAAAAAATGGCACTCCTGTGACTTCACCTGAGTTGTTTTCATGACGGGTCCAAATGCACAAATTACATTATCTATTTAAAAAATCACATTATTTTCTGGTTTCTAAAAGTTCCTGGGCAGCACCGGGCACTCCTTGCTAGTAAAAACAACAACAAAGGATTAGGAATAGACTGATGGGACAAACAGAGGAGTGGGGGGAGAACTACCATTGAAATACACCAAGGAGGAATTGTTCTTGGACAGATTCCCCAAATCTCAAACCAAAACAGAAGGCGCAGGTGTGAACTATTTAGTGCAATTCGGTAGGTGGAATGCCATACCTTGATAGCCTGAAACTGGAGATCAAGGCGCATTGTGCTGGTGCTGGGAGAGCCAGGGCGAACAGCTGCTTGAGTACCGACGGGTATCAATAATGTGATGAAGCGATTTGGATTAGCTGCCAGAACATCACGCAGTGGCTTCGCATCTTTATGTTTTAAAAAGCTCTGGTTTTGAAACGATAAAAGAAAACTCTTGATGAAGGCAAGGAATTGTTTCGGAAGTCTGCCAGCAACATACATTGTGCAGTTTTATACATGGGTGCAGTGTCAGCTATATCTGAGCAATCTTACGCTTAAAATTGCTTACTTAAATATCATACATTATTTACATCAGTCATCTCAAACTTGGTGCCCTTCAGAAAACAATGGGCTACAAAAAGCCATCATTAAAACACTGGCCATGCTAGCTGTGGCTCATGGAAGCCAGAGTCCAGCAATATCTAGAGGGCACCAGATTAGGAAGACTGAGCTAGAGCAGTGGGCAGACTTCAGGTCCTGATCAAGTCCAAGTCCTGATACAACAAAACACTAATGGAGCAAATAAAGATGAAAGAACTGTTCTAAATCTTCACCTGTACACTCCCTTCCCTATGTCTCCTCCTTTATGCAGCTCCCTCCGTTCTTCATGCTGGTAATTATATTTCTTACTATATAATAAAATTTTAAGGATGTTTTCACACTGCAGTTTGCATAGCCTCCAATAGGCAGCCGAGAGAACGGCAGCGTGATGACAAAACATAAGACTGTTGCCCAGTAGGTGAGAGAGAAAGTGGACAATCCAGATCAGCTGCAGAGGAAGAGCCAGGCCAAGACAGTTCCCCAGCATCTGTCTTGCTCATATATGAGGTGCAGTGTGACAGCCAATGATGAAGTTTCTGCCTTAGCACTGTAGGAGGCCAAGGAGGAGACAAGGCAAAGTAGGGCAGAATGGTTACTGGGGAGACGCCCCAGACATCTGTGGCTTGCATAGGCAGTGTTTTGGCAAGGCTGTAAAGTGAGGAGCACAGTTTGGCCAAGTGAGCTACAAAGCAAAATAGAATAGCAGCACAGTTGATGGAATAGCTGACCAATCAAAGCACTTTCCTGGAGTTTGGCTGCTGTTGCATGGGGCTCAACAACCTGGGAAGGTAGTGTGCCTAGGAGAAGGAAAACTCTGATCCTAAACCTCTAGTGCCTTGCGGGATATCTTCAGAATAAAAGCCTAAGGAGTAAACTCTGCACATATCTGGAGTGGAGGCCCTAAGATGGTTGGGATGATGCCTTGTACACCTCCTTCCGGCAACTCCTGCAGCCAAGCTGGTACATTGCTCTGCTTTCCTCTGGACCACATCAGTGAGGCCAAGAGGGGGGTCTGGGCAGCCCAGGACCTCCATACACACAGCCCAAGCTTGCTCCCTGAGAAGGTCACTTTGGTGCTGCTAATACAGCAGTCTGACTTCACCCCCGAAGGTGCACTCCATTATTTCTCAAGACAGACGGATGCCAACAAAAAACGATGGAATAGCCCAGCTTCCCTTCTTTTCCTCTGCTGCAGCCCATGGCTGCTGCTAGGTGACAGCGGAGAAAGATCTTACACTTGCAAGCACCTTGATCATCCACCAGCATTGAAAGTCAATCAAACAAAGCAAAACACCATGTGTTACCATGAACATCCTGCTCCACTGTGGATCATTTAAGGTTGCTTCCATCATGAACAACTCAACCGTCTGTGATGGATGACGCGTCAGAAACTTTATTAATGGTTCCCTGAACGGACTGCCAGCCTGCGAAAACAAATCCCAGAGAAAAAGAAGCTTCATTTAGCATGTGGACAAGTTCAAGGCAGCTAGGGTTGCACTCTTGGGTTATGTTTTTCTAAGGACTGCAAACATGCCAGCAGTGCCCAAGCCTAGAATTATGGTTTTCTCTCCAGCACATCTGAACCTTCAGTGTTTTCAGTTGGGAAATGTTTGAAATGTCACAATATCTGGCCCTTTCTCTCAAGGGCAAACTAAGCAAAACGTTTCTATATAGCTACAGCGGAACATTATATTTCTACATGTAATTCTAATCTGACCACAAGTTTGATCTCCCTCCACTTTATATATGTATGTATGTCCCTGGGGAACGCGGTGGCGCTGTGGGTTAAACCACAGAGCCTAGGACTTGCCGATCAGAAGGTCAGCGGTTCGAATCCCCATGACGGGGTGAGCTCCCGTTGCTCGGTCCCAGCTCCTGCCAACCTAGCAGTTCGAAAGCACGTCAAAAAAGTGCAAGTAGATAAATAGGTACCGCTCCAGTGGGAAGGTAAACAGCGTTTCCATGCACTGCTCTGGTTTGCCAGAAGCGGCTTAGTCATGCTGGCCACATGACCCGGAAGCTGTACGCCGGATCCCTCGGCCAATAAAGCAAGATGAGCGCCACAACCCCAGAGTCATCCGCAACTGGACCTAATGGTCAGGGGTCCCTTTACCTTTATGTATGTCCCTCTCTGTATGTGTGTGTGTGTGTGTGTGTGTGCGCGCACACACACACACACACACACACAAAGTTAAATTCTCATTTGAACCTTGAAAATCCATTAGAACTAGTTCCAAACTCTTTTAAAAATGGAGTAGAGTACAAGAGGGGTGTCCACAAATCAATGTTTTAAATCAAATGGATTCCACAGGGGAGTTGAAACAATTCAAAACACAATTAAAGCAAGTATTACAAATGGAAGAGCAGAAGCAATTAAGGAAATTAAGTGCCATTTTACCTCTATCAACATAGCCCGTTCTGTTTTCATCACAACTTCCAGTAAGGGTTTAACGAGTGTCTGAGGAGCAGCTGGGATCAGATGAAATAGGTTTATAATTGCTGAGCAAATCTTCATTTCCTACAGACAAAATGGAAACATTAGCAAGCATCCATTTACTTTAAGGCAGCGTTCGAATGCAACACACAACAGATCCTAATGGGAACTCTATTCCCCTTTCTAGGTGTTAGCATGGCTGGCAAACCAAAGCAAGGAGTTAAAACAACAACTACTTACCCAGGGCACGTAAGATAGCTGTTTTGTTCTGGGGGAGGGGGGGCAATGGGTGGCTAGATGGTTCAGTTTGCTTCAATAGTGCAACTTTAAAACTTTGGGGTTTTATTTTTTTTAAAAAAATGGTATGACAACAGCGGTATGGAGGTTTGTGAATGTCCAATGTTGGCCACACTAACTGCGTGACTCTCTCCGAAAGGCAAAAGCTGCTGCTAAAAGCTGGCTTGTACAAAACTATAAAGGAAGAGTTCTGTTTGGCCTGCATCAGAGTTCAATTCATATGGGCTAGCAACTTCAAAATTCAACTCTATCCTCCTACAGCAGAGGCTGGTCCATTGGGGCAAGCAGGGCACTGCCACACAAACCTCAGCCTGCCTTCATCCAGCCTCGACCGATCTGCCTTCTAAGCTACAAACAGTCCAGGAGATCACAGAAATCCTGCCAGCTTCCTCTTCCTTAGCCTGCATGTTGCCCTTGCTGAGGTTAGCAGGGAGGAGGATGGGGACAAAACTAGAATTACAGTGGTGCCTTGCAAGACAAAATTAATTCGTTCCGCGAGTTTTGTCGTCTTGCGATTTTTTTCGTCTTGCGAAGCACGGTGTCGGGAAAGTTTTGGAAAAGCTTCAAAAATCACCAAAGTCTTTAAAAACCTCAAAAAAGGCTACCACACCGCGTGCTATGAGTTGCTCCTCGAAGTCAAGTCGCAACTGTATTAACGGTGTTAAGAAAAAGGAAACAAACTTGCAAGACGTTTCCGTCTTGCGAAGCAAGCCCATAGGGAAAATCGCCTTGCGAAGCAGCTCAAAAAACCAAAAACCCTTTCGTCTAGCAAGTTTTTTGTCTTGCGAGGCATTCGTCTTGCGAGGTACCACTGTATCTGGCTCTACTTCCCATTGGCTCTGTTCCACCTATGGTTCGGACTCCCTGCATTCTGCCTCACCAGTCCCAAAGGTCATCAGCCACCAACCTCCGAGCTCTTCCACAGACCCCAACGCAGCAAACCTCCTGTTGACCATTTGGGTAGTTTCTTATGTCGGGTTATGACAAACACCATAGAAGGAAAAGGGGCAAGAAATTGTGCATGCATACACACAGTACATTAGGTCTAGCAAGGTGGTTGCATTTCCTGAACTGAATGAAGCACAAGTCTCCCCCACTTGAACAGAGAGGCCTGCACAGCCGTCAGACGTTAGAATTAGGAGTGGGGCCTCAACTTTTGCTTTGAAATCTGTTCCTTTTAGATGTTAGCAGCTCAAGAAGGCATCCGCTCAACGTATGTACAGGGAGGGAGGGAAACTGCACCAAAAACTTCCTAATTTATTCATATATATTTTAAAAAAAAAGGAAAACATGCTTTATAAGTCCTTCCACAGGTCACAGCAAATGCTACTGATACAACTCCGCCACAGACAAACAACAGAGGACAAGTCACAGCACTGCACTCAAGGCACAATGCACTTCGTCCAGTACATAACAAATACAGCTAACAAACCATAGCAAAACAAACCATAAACAGAGAAAGAGAGGGAGAGGAAGAAGGAGAGAAAGAAAGAGACAAAGGAACGAAACGAAACCCAAACAAAGAACCTCCTGGCACCTCCACTGAAAGTTCTCACCTCTACCCCTTCCATGGCAGGCTGAACCGAAACAAAACAAAACAAAAATTCACAGCGTGAACAACAACGACAACCACAAAAACGTAAATGCAAAAGAAAAGTGTATATGCTATGCTTCAGAGCAGAGTCAGAAACTGACTTTAGTAGGGTTAGATTCTCACCTCAAACTGACAGAATGGAGACAAGGAACATCTCCCGCACTCGGAAATACTCTCCTGAGGATGGGGAGGAAAAGCATCTTTTTTTTGTTTTGGCTGTTTGTACACACACTGAATACATACAACTTCCCATATATATATCTATATATATATTTAAAGCTTGCACACAAGGAGGAAGAGGAAGGATATTAAGGGATGAACAAGACAGTGAAGGCGGCATTCAGATTATCTTGGGAGACAGGCAATGTCCACAGAGACAACAGAAAAACAAACCACCTTTCAACGCTCAATAGAGTAGAACAGAACAAACCGGAATCACGAACAATACCCTTGGCAAAAAGGGTTGTAGTATGGCATTTCTATATAATATATGTACCCAGAGGAGTGCTGAGCAAAGGTAACTGTTGAGAGTGAGGAAAAGTGTGTTTTGAGTGGAAGTGTGAGCAAATGGGTGTTGATGCAGACTGGCTGAGCTATGGGTGTGTTTGAGCAGGTGCAAAATGTGTGAGCAACTGAGCGAGTGGAAACACAGTTTTACATCATACTGTATTATTGTATTTTGCTGTTTGATTACTCTCACAAACCATTTTAATGAAAATTAAAATGAAACTTTAAGAGGTGTTTTGGGGCTAACCTAGTAAAACTGATGTGCATCATAATAATTAACAACAGCGCTTAGTAGCATTTCCACCGGGGAGAGAACAGGCACACGTTTTTACCACTTCTCAACAGAAGTCATGGCAAGGTCTTAAAATGCCTGTGAATGGTTAGAGGATGGAAGCAGGATCTTCTGAGATTTGTAGGGCAGCTTATCAAACAGCCTGAAGAGGAGGGGACTCTCAAAATGCACATTAGTCACTGACTAAGTTTGGATGATGCTATATTGGCTGAATTAGACAAGATAAGATTGCTACATACAGTTGCTTCATTCTTCTCTTTGCATAAGCCAGGAAGTCTTTAGTTAACTTTAGTTTCTTGTTACATCCAAACCAGGAAATCATAGTTAAAGATTTCCCAGTAAACCAAGATATGAAGCCATGGTAAAGGTAAAGGTAAAGGTAAAGGGACCCCTGATCATTAGGTCCAGTCGCGGACGACTCTGGGGTTGCGGCGCTCATCTCACTTTACTGTCCGAGGGAGCCGGCATGTGGCCAGCATGACTAAGCTGCTTCTGGCGAACCAGAGCAGCGCACAGAAATGCCATTTACCTTCCCGCCGGAGTGGTACCTATTTATCTACTTGCACTTTGACGTGCTTTCGAACTGCTAGGTTGGCAGGAGCAGGGACTGAGCAATGGGAGCTCACCCCGCCGCAGGGATTCGAACCACCGACCTTCTGATCGGCAAGTCCTAGATTCTGTGGTTTAACCCACAGCGCCACCCGCGTCCCGAAGCCATGGTACAATTCACTAAATACCTTGTCCTGTTTGGAAACCATTAACCATAGTTTCTTTGTTTTGGTATAGCAGAAGACTCTAGTAAGGTGGTGAATCCCTGGCTTGCACAAAGGAAGGAGGAAAGCCATAACGTAGAACAAAGCTTGTTCACATCACATCTTATGAAGCTCAGGTATGATTGCTCAAGCACAGCTACAAGCCTAATCTATATTAGAGGATCGCTGTGAGAACAATATAGGGAGAATGGGGATCTGCCTTGAGCTCCTTGGAGAAAAAGTGACAAATGAAACAATCCATTTTTAGCCGATTTGAAGGAGACACTCTTAATGCATGCCTGCAGCTAAACACAATGGCTCCATGCATATGATCATGCTGTCAACAGTATCCAATACAGCAGTGCCAGCTTTATAATCCATGAAGCCATGAAGCACGGCTTAATTAGCACGGGGAATGCAAACCTCTTGCAGGCAGATACATATTAAAGCAATAAAGAACCTTGTTGTTGTTGTTTTTAATTGGTATGAAAGGAGATTAAGGATTTGGGTAAAGTCTGCCCCAACACACAAAAACACACACACGGGGGGTGGGGGGGGTGAGAGAACAGCATTCTTAAAATTTCAAGTTACGTTTTCCTGAAAGCGCAGTATTTCTATTGCTTTGCAAACAGGGTGGCTTTGCTTCAGATGTTGAGACTCTGGGGGAACTCCCAGAGGGATGCTGCACTTGAAGAGCTAGTGGAAAGGCTGAAAGCGAAAGGCTAGGGAAAGCGCTTGCTAGACTTCTCACGATAATGAAGCAACCCCAAGTCACTTCTTCGCTGTCCACAGCATGGAGCCGTATTTTGCACACAAAAACAGGAGAGACACGGCGGAGCAGCACTTAAAATATACTTGCGTTTCACCTCATGGGGGGGGGAGCAAGAGGAGCACCCCCACGTCCAGTGCCCAGTCCCCCGCTCCCCCTCTCCGAATGGTTACTCCTCCCCCAGAGTCAACACTAGTGGCAGCAGAAGGAACTTACTATGATAGCCACAGTTGATTCCCAATAGCTGTTAGGGCAGGAATTCACCATGAGCGATGAAAGTGATAATGCCTAGAACAGTTCTGCCACACACCTCCACATTTTAACAGTAGTTGAGACTGCTGTTGGGCCAGACTAACTCCAGTGGCAAGTGCTTACAGGATTAAAGCCCCAGCTGTTAACGGGGATCTGCGATTTTTGAGTGGTCTTGCTGGCCAAGGCTGTAGGCACCAGCATCCCCTTTTCCCCTACCAAACAGAAATGTGGGGAAAGCACACCAGGTTGGGCAAAGCTTCTCAAAGTCACCCCAGGTAATGTCGCCCGACACAAAACACACACACACACTGCTGGGTTTTCCTGTTTAGGAGGGTAGCCGACTGGGCAACGCTGGTAAGAGGTGCCCTGAGCAGCAATGCTCAACCCTTCTTTCCCACCATTGGCCTTTCCCAACAGGACATCTGGAAGGAGAAGTGTTGCCTGGACACCACTGGACAAAGGACCAAGCAGGAGCATCCAGTTTTCCTCCTCTGCTTTCCTGCTCCAGAGTCAGAAGGTTGGTTAAGAGTGCTTCCTGTTCCACCCTAGGCGGCTGGCTGCGTATCACACTCCCCAAAGGGTTGTGCCACCCTCATCGTGGCAAGTACATCTGTTAAAGCCTGGCTGTTAGCAGCAGTTGCACCTACTGCGATGTATGGAAGAATGTGTGTGTTTTTAAGTGGTTGCACACTGCCAGATATAAAGGAATAGCACAGTCTATGTAGCCTACATAAGCTGAATTACCATTGCTAACGTTTCTCAGATTACGGCCATCTTGAGGCAGCAGGAAGTCACTCTCAGGCAAGCATTTATGCCGCCAACTACAGTGGTGGCCCTTTACAACATGATTAGATCATGTATGCTAGGCATGTCCAAGTGTAGCCAACATGGCGCCCTCTAGATGTTTTGGACTACAACTCCCATCAGCCCCAGCAAGATCTAGCAATGGTCACATATGGTGAGTTGGCAACATCTGCAGGGGACGATGTGGGCCACCCCAGCACAAAGTGAACAGCCAAATCAAAACATGCCAGCTTTGCAGGCATGTGCCACCACCAGAAAAGCAGGTATCAACCATGCTAGCTATACAGGATACCAGGTTCATAGGAAACAGATTTGGAAATATCAATTGATAGGGAGGAAGAATGTAGGAGGGCTACTGCCTTCATATCCTCTTTGTGGGCTCTGTGGAAGCAACTGGCTGACCACCGTGAGAAACAGGATGCTAGAATATATGAGCCTTTAGCCTCATCCAGCAGCACCCTTTGGACTCTGTTGGGGCAAACTACCAAGCTCCTGTCCTCCTAAAGCCTTGCAGGTATATTTGGGCAGCAGGGGTGGGGGGAGAATTTGCTAAAGTGGAACAGTGCTTAATAGATTGTGCCATACTTAGCAGCTGAAGCACAGCAGTCTCAAAAGGACTGGGCAGATTCCAAGCCTAGCGCATAATGCAGCAATGCTTCAAAAGGTGGTGCGTCCTTTCTAAGTGTTTATTAACTAATGGTGTTTTACCAGGCCTGTATTCCCACATCACCACATACAATGCTTTTAACAACAGCCAAATGTTCACACTCAGACTGAAACCATATTCGGACACTGCCTTGTCAAGCTTCTTCACTCTTTCCCCCTTTTAAAAAATGAATTATAGATAAATATGTATATTCAAACATTAAGAGTCTGCAAGAGAACTTTTTCGTTTACATGAAAGACCACACATAGTTCAGAGCAAGTTGCTGCTACTGCACAACTACTACTAGACAAAAGAGGCTGCAAAAGTCCACCATTAGAGGGGTGGGGGTTTGGCCCAACTCCTTCTCATTCACAGAGTCTTGTGCCAATGAAGCTCCTGGGTGAATTAAACACATGCACACGAAAAATCAAGAAATTAACAATGCCTGAAAACTTTCAAGTACCAGTAAGCTAGTACTTACTAGGGATTGTAACCTGAGGAACCCTAACATCCAACACAAATAGGCTGATAATACCTAGGAAAACTGATGGCACAACACTGAACAAGCCTCGTCCTTTTAAGCATTATTTCCCCAGCTTTCTTCACAATCTCATTCCAATAGCAGTCTTGCTTTCATTTCCAAAAATTATTTCATGTATTGCATATATATATACACACACACACACATACAAAGATTTAGCCTGCAGAAAAGGATGGGAGAATGGTACATGCCGCTCATTTGCAAGAGACGTGGAACATCCAGTAACATTGATTTGGAGTGGGGGGAAATCTCTACCAGGTCAAGGTGTTTTTCTTAAGGATGGATTTCTGTTAATGACAGTGTTTGTGCTTCTTGCTGAATCCAATGAACTGGGATGGGTTGCCAGTGAAATCACTAGGGGCGCAACCAACAGTTTTCATATAAAGCACAAGCTCAATTCACCCTACAACAGGGTGCACTCTTAAGGTCTTCCTCCACACTTAAAATTCAGCAGCTAGCATCCCACAAGATTGAGCGTGGCTACCATAGAGTAGGTGAACATCAAGCATCTGTAAAAGCATTAAGAATTTGTCTATCATACACACACACACACACACAAAGACAATCATTAAGCAGGTATGTAGTTCGCTGAAAGGAAGCAGCTACCGTTTACAGTCTCCCCAACATTTCATTCCCATTTGCTTTGGCTTTTCATGCCCCAGAAAAAGAATGGAATCAACTTACATTTCCATCACTCCTCTGTCCTCCTTTGTGTGTAATAACTACCACTTCCATCCATTTACGCAGGTGTTGCTGTGGGGGAATCCAATATCGAGTGTTATTTCCCGCTTTCTTACAGCCTCTGTTAGTTAAGCATGGCCCATGCAATTATTTACAATAAAGAAACTTTGTATAATAGTTGTATTCATTTCGGGGGGGGGTTTAAGTGAGGAGGCAAGAATGCTATCTGCAGACACTGAGGGCTTTGCAGCCAAGGCATTTTTCATTTTTGCCCAGGTAGAAGCAGTCAATAAGATCTTTTGTCCAGCCGGAATCTATGAGAAGATTGTTGCATGCTCCCCGATGCGGAACTCATTCTAATAAGCGACCTTAGCTCACCTCAAGACCTACATCCTAAAGTCATGCAGAAACCTCCAGCTTGATGACAAACACGTGTTGTCTCCAGCTGTGCCATGCCATGTGAACAAGGTCACATCTAAGTTCCCCATTGTGCCTGGTGCAAGAAGGAATGAGGATGGGTGGCAAGGGCAGCTGCAGTGGAGGCGAGAGGAAGCATTCAGTTCAGCGCCTGCCACCCGGCCATGCCACTACTTAGGGGCCACAAATCTCAGACCAATCAGCTTCAGCTTAGCATTACATTCTTGTAGTACTGCAAAAGGCTCACACAAGTAATTTTACACACACACATCCAAAGCCAGCAAAGTTTTTCCAAGGTTGAAGGGAAAGACAGACGCCTAAGTAGAACAGCAAGGAACAGGGATTCCGTTCCAGTTGGTATATTCTGTTCGTGCTTCTAGCCCCTATGACTAGAACTTCCACTGGAAGAGTCCCTGGCCAGGATTTTACCTCTGCTACTAATCCACCTCCAGCTACCCTTGACATTCCAGTATTCAAGCTCTGCTGGAAGAGCTCATTTGAGCTGCAAAAATTGAGCAAGAGGTGGCAGCGGCAACATCCTACACATAACAGACCAAGTTTGGAGGTGGGGGTGAGGTTAGAGAGACTGGCTTGCCGATTCTCTTTAGGAGCCTAGCTGCAAGTTCCCAGTTCCAGTTTTTGGGTTGCTAGCGGCTGTTAAACCCTTGGAAGTTATTTTATTTGGCACAACTAGACAACACCATCAAACATAAATAACAAGGTGGAGCAGATTCAAATGGTTAAAGACATGTTCTTGTTCATGCTTACTAGATGTTTATTATAGCATTAGAAATAAAGTTGCCAAGTCTATGAATGTTTGCCAAAGTAGCCTGACATTTTGTGGTTTGTTGTTTATAAAGGGGGGGGGGCAATGCTTTCATTTCAATTTAGCAGCACTTTTTTAAAAGCCAACTAGTTCACATTCAGCTTCCAACTGAAGATTTACGTACTCCTGCTTCCTCCTCCCACCCCACATCCGACACCCAATTAATCCACAGTTAAAGAGAGAAGATTCCTTGTACAAATCTATTAAATAGCTTTTAAGCCTCCTCTTTGAAACTTTCGATTTCAGAGTGACATTTGCTTAAAAATCATTCAAGCAGTTCCATGTTCTTACCATCATTTGATCGCAGAATTTGTCATTAAAGGAGTTAGGGAACAGTCGGGTCACTGAAGTTAGGCGGTTCACCACATTTAACGTCAAACTTCGGTAATCACCCAACATCATAAGCAGAGGCCTCATGTGCGTGTGAATCTGGTCAACTTCAATCGTAGCACCTTCCAAAAACTAACAGGAAGTAACATGAGCAACATCATAAAAGTATTTCTTTGCAACCATTTGTGTAAGCTGGTATTTCAGACTGCAAGTTTAAAGCATCCTTAAAGTGGAAAGAAAAGAAAACCTAAAAAAAAACCCCTACTGGAATAATTGTGACTTTTGAGAAATAAAGTGCACAGGCCCAGTGCAGACATAACTATGGTTTCTTGCCTTAATGTTAGTAAAGATCCCAAACAGAGTGAAACCCCATGACTGAAATTGTTAAAGAAAGGCTGCTTCCAGGATGCATGTAGCAGCAGGTAACCAGAGAAACCACTTGCAAGCAGAAAGACTGCAATGGCTGGGGAATCAAACCATGAGCCTCAAGTCTTTAAACATGGTTTGGGTTAAAAAAAGCACCTTAACTGTGGTTAAGAAAAGCAAACCATGGCTTGTGATACATTTGGATTGGGTCACAGATGAAAAAGCTTCACACTGGCAATTACGTTCTCCACGTGGAAGGAAGATTCCTCCAATAAAGCAATAAGCAACTTTAGAGACCCATATTTCCAACAGGACAAACTTCTGATATCACAGAGCTATGCACTTCTGTCAGAGCTTGCTGGAGCTAAGCAAGTCTGGGTGCGGACAGTCCTTGGATGGAAGGCCACCTGGAAATCTTGTGTGTGCCACCCTGAGTTCAACAGGAAGGCAGAATACAAACAAAACCACATAGGACATACTCAAAAACAAACCAGCCTGCTCCATTTACAGCATTTACTAATGACGTGTCTGCCGTGGTCCCAGCCCAGGAATCCCTAGTCCTTCCCAGGAAGGTAACTGTGCCACCTGGACTCTGGTGACTGGGCCAAAGTTTTTGGAGGATCAAGAAAGACCTGATCATGAGAAAAGCTTTCTCCAAAAGAGTCCCCAAATCCTGAAACCTCACTGCCTAGAAGAAGCCAACAGCTGCAGAAAAAGGCACCAGGTCAGATGCCCAGACTATAGAGTTCTGCTGAAACAATGTGCCACAACTGCAGGACTGCTCATTATGGTCCTGACCCAGCACCTTAGTCTTTGCCCAAGGCCCTTGCCTGGCCTGCGTTTACAGTATATTCCAGAACCCTAGACATACTGGACTCCATCTTGCATGGGTTATTATCACCCCTTGGTGGTGGGTGTCACAATGGATCTGGGTAATGGAAAGACTAGTTACAGTAGCCTCTTGGGCCACGTAAACCCTGCCATCAAGATGTAGGACAGTTAACTCAATTTTCCAAATCTTTTGAAAAGACTTCCGCTTCAATATTTTGTCTATAAATGTCTGCGGGGACCCAGCACCTGCTTACTGTTTTAATGCATTTTCAGCCCTGCCGTTCAATACGAGTACGGTGCAGGTTTTAAGCAGCAATCAATAGTTACATTAGCTATTTAGGTACCATAATTAAAAACACTCAGTTGCATTATAGCTATGACATCAACAGCCCACTCCCAAGATTATGGGGCCCGTCACAGCAAGACATCAATAAAGCGCCCCAGAACAACGTTGTTCTTTCTTTGGAAAGTGGTTGTACACATTTGAGAGGCAGCAGAGAACTTCTATGCCCAAGATCAAGCCATTTAAAAAATAACCCACTTCATGGCGCCCCAATTACACTGGCATCATGCAAACAGAGATATAAACAGTGCAGCCATTAATCCCAATGGCAAAACAGCTTCCTTGTTACTCAGCTCTTGAGCAGAGGAAAAAAGTCAGCACAAAGCTGCTTTGTCTCAGTGCCACAAACCTTTCTCATGCAAGCCTCTCCTGCCTCCTGGAGTTCATTGTTTGTTGAGTTAAGTGCCTTGAAAAGTGCAGCAATGATTTTCTCTCTCGACTGCGGCAAATAATTGCAGGCAGCTAAGGCATCTGCAAAAATCAAAGGAAATTGAGCTTCCTTATTAACTGGAAATTCAAAAGGTTAAGAAACAACTCTTTTGTTTTTATTTCTATAACGCTTCTTTGATTTCTTCCCAAATTACAGACGGCTTAACATGCTTTGCCAACAGCAACAGGCTTCAGAAGAGGGGGTGGCGGCAATCATTTGTAGTTTTACAAGTAGCCGATTTCCAAAGCACATTTAGAATTCTGGACCATTCACCATGTGTGAAGAGAGGGAAAATGTTCCAGAAGAGGAGAGAGAACAGTGAATGACAAGCGGTGAAGAGAAAAAGGCTGTGACCCGTTCCTGGCAGGTGAACATGGCCCCTGGCTCTGCCAACGAAATGGAATTAGTATTGCATGCTGATTTACTTAGCCAAACTTCGATACCACAAAAAAAAAAAAATACCTGCCCGGCAACACAAAAGCTTGCTAGCACAGAGAAGTCTTCAGCAAACAGAGGCAGAAGGCAAGGGAGATGAAATAAACATCACCAGGAAAGGTATTCCACAATTGGGTGCAGCCACTGAGAAGGCCTCACCCAACTGTTCTTCCACTATAGTCATGGCACAGAAGGGTCTCTCTACAAGACTTTGAGCAGTGAGCAGCTTGATGGAAGATGAGGCGATCCCCAAGATATCCTAGACCCAAGTTATCCAGGACATAAAAGCCCACCGCCAAGACTTTTAAAGGCGCCCAAAAACAAACTGCCAACCAGCGCTGTTGTTTCAGGGAAAGTATAATATAGTCTTCTTGAATGAGCAGCCACCAACATCCATGATGCCACATTCTGGACCAACTGAGATTTCCCAATACAGTGGTACCTTGGGTTACATACGCTTCAGGTTACAGACTCCGCTAACCCAGAAATAGTGCTTCAGGTTAAGAACTTTGCTTCAGGATAAGAACAGAAATCCGGCTCCGGCGGCACAGCAGCAGCAGGAGGCCCTATTAGCTAAAGTGGTGCTTCAGGTTAAGAACAGCTTCAGGTTAAGAACGTACCTCCGGAACGAATTAAGCACTTAACCCGAGGTACCACTGTACTCTCCAAAAGTGAGTTACAAGTCCCAACAGCCTTAGCAAGCATAGCCAATGACCCAGGACAATGGGAACTGTGGTTCAGCAACAACTGGAAAGCCAAAGGCTCCCCACTCCTGCACAAGTTCCTGGATTTGCTCCATGGCACCAGTTTTTAAAAGTGTATCAGCGAGAAACAAGGTCAGAGGAGACAGTTCTGAGCTAGGTGAACCAACAGTGTGACTCGGTTTAAGGGAGCCACGTATGTTTATATAGTTAAGTTGGTGCTCAGCCTACTACTATACTACAGATGCTACTGCAGACTGCAGACATCCTTATATCTACAGGGCCCCATCCTTTTCCCACTACAGCATCAACCCTAGTGCTTTCTATACAATGCAGCATATAGCACCCGTATTCAAAGTCTTATTAAACTTACTCAGTGCTGCAATCCGAAGAGGTACCAATGACGGAAGACTCTTGTAGCAGGGCAATTTCATCAAAGCACAGTCTTCAGCCTCACATAAATTCAACAGCTGGAAGTGGAGATGGAAAAGAGTTGACTTCTTGTTTTGAGCCAGGGAGTGGGGCTCTAAACACACTTTAAATTGTTTACCTGTCATTTTAACAAGGCACTTTGAAGCCAAACACAACCATTCACATTTCATTAACAAAAAAATCAGGTGTTGCATTTTGGAAGGTTTCCCCCATCATTGTTTACTGTTTTAATGTGACTAGACTAATGCACCCGGCCTTGTAATTACATAACTGCTCCAAATTGTTTACTTAAATATTGTATCCCATTACCTTTTTGTCCATTTTGAACCATCATTACGAACAATGGATCAGTCTGATAGTCCCAATTTTATTTATTATTTTATAAAATTTATATACTGCTTGATTGTAGCAAAACGGCAAAGCGGTTTAGAGAAAATATAAAACAAAATTATCACTAAAACATCTACAACTATAATTTAAAACACACGGGAGGTTCAAACCGCAATAAAATAGACTAAAACAATTCAAAACTCCTAAAAAAACCCTTTCTAAACATCTGGGTAGCCCTTGTCTAAATAAGAATGTCTTCAGCAGGTGTCAAAAAGAACACAGTGAAGGTATTTCAATTATCTGCATCTGACCCATATAAAAAGCAGATCAGAGCTGTTCATCGTAATTCTTTTAAAACTATGTGGTATATACAATGTCTCCCCATTTAAAAATGCATTTCACCTTACAAGAGGTTATTGTAAATGAATTTTTTAAAAAACCCAAATTAAACTTCACAAAATAAACAAGTATAGCGGCATCAGGAAGAAAAGCCAAGGCATTCTGGCAAGGGCACAATGTCTAAATATAGTAACATTAATTAATTACAGTTGGTGAATGACAGATTTACTAAGCATACTTACACTTCTCACTTGTATCAGTTTTGCATTGTTTAAGAACTATGGTTGCCCTCCAAATAATCCTGCTACTCTCAAGTGTATGTACATAGGGTGGTAGCCCAAAACTGCATCGTGGATAAACCCATGGAGACTAGTTTTAAAATTTGTGAACATAAAGACCAAAGGGAAGTACCTCTGTATAGAACACTTTGTGTTCTACAACATTTAGATCCATGGTGAAAAGTCTGGGTTGAAGTGTGGTGCAGAATGTGTTCCCCTCCATCAAACCAATCTGGGCATTTGCAGGTTGATGCCTAAGTAAGTGCTTTTTCGGAGGAACCATGTCTTGGAGGACCTAGAAAATAGCAGAGAGCATCAGAAGAGGGGTCTTGGTTTGTGTGGTCTAAACGCCACCTTTCTCTTTCCCTCAATCATCGCAGACTCTTCTTATATGCAGGATTATCAAACCCAAATTCAGGACACACAGTAAACATCACTCCTTCAATACAACCATCCACAATTAAACCTGCAAAGTCTCTCACTGGTTGCTAGCATTAGATAACCTCTGTGCTGCTTCCATGATGTACAAGGTCAAAATCATGACTAATCCTTTGTGCACTAATCATAGTATTTTAATCTTTCAAAACTCCTGTTATCACAAGATCATCAGACACAGCACAAAAGTGGATATAGCAAAGTACATGCAGAATGGAACACTGGTCTAAAGAAAAACAAGGCCTGAAAAGTAATCACATGGGAGGATTCCCAGAATGTGCAGTGCAAAGAGAAATTCCATGTAAATCTCAAGAAAATAAAATTAGCCAGAGTGCTTAGAGCAGGGCTAGAGGACCTGTACACCTCCAGATGCTGTTTGACTAACAACTTCCATCATCCCCAACAATGCTGGCTGGGACGGATAGGAGTTTGAGACCAACAACATCCAGAGGTGCCCGTGGATGAGCCATTCAAGCCCCTAGAGAGACTTAGGACATTTATATCCCTCTTCCTTCCAAGGGCACCTAGGGCAGCAAACACATCAGTGAGTATAAAGAATACAAGGAAAAATAAAACCTAATACAAACTTCTAAAAACCATTTTAAACATCGAGCTCAATTGGAAATATCAAGCCAATCGGTATCTCTCAACCTACTTATCACACAAGGTTGTTGCGAGAATAAAATATGGAAGGAAAAATGATGTGTGCTGCCAAATGCTCATTCAAGGAAGGCTCGGATAAGCACCCAATGGAGAATATTTAGTTCATGGGCAAGCATGGCCAAGGAGATGGGACTCGGGAGACCTGAATGCAAAGCATGACTCAGCCAAGGGCTTGCTGGGGAACTCAAGAGCTATGCTTGCCCAGCTGCACTTCTCGTATCACCTTTTCCAGGGAGTTATCACACAGATTAATACAGGATCAGTAATGAAAGGGCTTTAACATTGCATATGTACAACCTGTGATGTTAAACGATTATAGCCTCTCAGCCCAATAATCCTCCCAGGATTGTTAAAAGGATAAAATGAGCTCTTTGGAGGAAAAAGTGGTATGTAAATGTTAAAAAATAAATATATTTAATAAAATGCAGCAGAATGAGGCAGCAGCATTCTGAACTGGCAGAGTAGACTGCAACCCTTAAGGCTGCAACGATTTCATGTTTGAATGCTCTCTCTTGTGAAAAGTCCCTGAAAGCAAAACACTGAGAACATCCAAGAGACAGATTCTAGCCAAGCCAATCCCCGCCCCCATTCTGGTGGTGATGATTTACTATTTACAAATTATAAATGTGCTGGTTTTCTATTTCCAGAGAGCTTCTTTTTTCCAATAAAGAAGCGTTGTGAAATGTGACTCCTCACCAGCAGATTGCAGTGGTACAGTTCACACTGCTATCTCAGCCCGCTGCATGTGTCAATCAGGTCACAGACAATTAAACGTTAACAGGCTGCCTCACCTCTTTATGCGGCTCCATGATCACAGTGACGCTTTTCCCCGTGACTTGGGCAAGCACCTGCAAGGAGTGCATCGCTTGCTTCCTTACAGTGGAGTTTGGAGAGGTCACCTCTCGCACCAGGTCATGGGTCACGTGATGGAAAGACTTTTCCTGGGCCGAGAGGATGTCTTCTGTTTTCTCTTCATCTTTCAGAGGAGTCGCGCACCTGATCAGGAGCTGTTCCAGGGTGGTTTTGGCCATAGCAACTGCTCCGTTCGAAACCTATACAGATTGCAGAAGTGTCAGTGTGTTGCCAATGCAAACTAATGAGCAGCGCTGGAGTACCAAATTCAACAGTGAAGTGACCAGCTTGCAAGAACATTCCTGCTTGAACGTGGATTGGAAACTTTACACAGAGGACCAGTGTGGTCACCCACTTTCTCAAAGGGCCCATCGCCATCAGGACCACCATCCCTGACACTGTCAGAGCCACGGTGCAGCACAGCTGTTTGCTGCCACCACCAGCCAATTAATCCCAGTTCCTCTCCTGCCTGCAGTTGTGCTTGCCCAGCATCTGCTATTTGTTGCGGGCATCGTATCATGATGGGAGATTGTGTCCATGATGCTATTATTACGGGAGCCAAGCTGGTACTCAGCTCTATGCCACAGCTACCATGTTAAATTCACCAAGATGCAATACCCAACATCTGCACTACGTCTTGGGAAACCTTAACATGGCAGCCACTCCTGCAGAACGGAGCCAAGCGCCAATCTGGTTCCACTAAGAGGCACCACTGCCCACTGCTGCTGGATAAACACACAGGAAGTAGGAGGCAGTGACAAAAGAAGCAGGAAGCAGCCATGCCAGGCAGGCAGGCAGCAGTAGCACCAGGCAGGGGAGTCAGACTGGTGCTGGACAGAGGGCCAAGGATAGCAGCTTGTGCTGGCTACACAGATACATTTCCAAAGCCAGAATGAATTGGTGGTTTAATGTTTCCAAGGTGAGATGTCAAAGCACACCTCATCAGTAAAGTGGAAGTGTCTGTCTGGATGAACAGCACATGACAAAACCTCACTCAGTGAAGTTCAGTTATCTTTAAAAGTCTTGCTTATCCAATTCCATGCTGTTTTTCTTCCCCACGTTTAGTCACACTGAAACATTGCTATTTAGCAACTGAACGCTTCCCTAGTTTTCCATGCAACCAAAAATAGTAATTACACATACAAAGTTGAAAGAGAAAAAGGCAGGTCCGCATGCAGCGGATTCGATGCTCGTTTTAATCTGGATTCGTAAAATCTCTTTCCTCGCAGGAGTACCATTCCCTCTGGCCTTCTTTGAACCCTGATGAGGGACACAAAGACTGACCAACCTTTCCATTTAACCAGATTTTGAAGGCACAGCTTAAGGCTGACTTCAACTCCTTTTTAGCCTTTAACCATGGTTAACAATAATGCAATATACCCCTTAACAGTGATGAAGGTAAGAGACAGAAATGTGATCCCAAGACAGAAGAAAGTGCCCGTGTCTGATATCTTAACCATGGTTAAACGGGGGCCACTATCACATCCCCGCATAGTGCTGGTCAAGCAATCTCAGGCCCAACAACACACCTGTGAAACAGGAATGATGCTGACTTCACTCACGGTGAATGCCTACTGAGAACGAGCCAGATGAATCTACCATGTCCTTCATGGTAAAAATCATACAACTATTAAGCATCTGTGTAAGAACCTCCAAGTTCTTCACCAGTTTTCAGTGAGAAGTATCATTACAGAAGCTCAATGCAATGGTGAAAAAAAGCAGGCGATAAGCTGTCTGGACAGGGACCAAAACTCAGTCTTGGAGCTCTACATGCTGAAGGTCCAGGGCTCAACCCCCAGCACCACCGGGAAGTACACCGGGAAAAGATACTATGGAGAGCTACTACCAGTCAATGCAGGCAATAGTGGACTAGATGGACCAACCATTGGTCCAAGCAGCTTCCTATAATTGATATGAGTCTTAAATACCTCTCCTGTTAGGTCCATCATGACAAACAGCAGCGCCTTGAGGAAAGTCTGTTGATTCTGGAGAACCCAAATGAGAGGCAGCCGCTCCATGAGAAATTTGATGGACACCACTCCCCCGAGCTTCGCGTACCAGGCTTGTTCATAGCAACAAGCGCACAGCCGCTCCACGATGTAGGAGAACAAGGGAAGCTGGCAAGCCTAGAGGGTTAAGGAAAGAACCAAGCAAATGTGCATCAGTCAGAAAGGCGCTGGGCTGTTCAAAGCAAGATCGCATCTGCAAAGCTGGAAGTGAGCTTCGTTACCCTTTCCTTCGATCCCAGGATGATGCTGGCAACATCAAATATCACGGCTAGGGCCACCTCTCCAATTTTGCAGAGCTCTTTCTCCTCGTACGCCATGCAGATGGCGATGGCATCGATAAGCACCAAGGGATCCATGCCTTTGGATCCGTTTTCTTCACTGTGGAACATGGCCGTGCTGGGCTGGCTTCCAACCTGGTAACACTGAAGCAAGAATGGACCTGGGATTTATAGTAAGGCGGGGAAGAGGAGGAAGCAGAAAACAAGGAGGCTTCAATTAGATGAGAAGGAAAGAGCAGCCCTGCTGGGTCAGAATAAAGGTCCACCTGGTTCAGTGTCCTGATCTCCCCGGACCACGGGTATAACCAAATGCTTCCAGGAAGCCCACAAGGAATGAGTGAAGGCATTGGTGACTGCTGCCCAGAGGTATACTGCGTAGGACCATGGAGGCCCAACTTAGCCATTGTGGCCAAGAGTTGTTGCCAGGCTGGGTAAATACCTTTTAAAGCCATTGATGCCATTGGCCTCTGCCATATCTTGTGGCAGTGGATTCCACAAATCAACCCCACATGGTGCAAAGAAGCCCTTTTTCTTGCCCATCCCAAATCTGCAGTCAATTTCATTGGGTGAGCCCAAGTTCTTTGATGGCAAAGACGCGAAGGAGTCCGCTCCATTTACTTCCTCCACCCCATACCTAAATACCATAAACTGTTACTGTCATAGACCTCCCCACCCACCCAAAAAATTATGTACAGTGATACCTCGTGTTGCGTAACCTCTAGGTTACAGAATCTTTGGGTTACGACTGCGGCAAACCCAGAAGTGTATACTTCCAGTTTTCACCGCGCACGTATGTGCACAAGCGCTCAACTGCACCCCACACATGCGCAGAAGAACTCAATTGTACCCCGTGCGTGTGCAGAAGGGCACCTCTGGTTACGAAGTTTTCGGGATACAGCCAGGCCTCCAGAACGGATCCTGTTCGTAACCGGAGGTACCACTGTATTCCTCTTAACTGCCATTTATCATAACAATTTCAGGCAGCATACAATAGTGTGAATGGCACCATTCACAGAAACTAATTAAAACCGGGTATCAACAACATGCACTTAATGACCTGAAAAAGAATGATATCTTCGCCTGAAAACAAAACTGCCGTGCTTTTACTCCAGGCTTCTTGTTAAAGAGTCACCAACCTGCTGCCCTCCAGAGGTTGTTCTGGCTAGGGCTGATGGGAGCTGTAGTCCACCAACATCTGGAGGGCACCAGGTTGGTGATGGCTGGCCCAACATTTACTTACCGCACTGCTGGGCAACTGCCACCATGGTGTAATGCCGAATTAAGCTGGCTACAAATGGAAGAGCACTGGGACGCAAGTCTTTGATCACTGCCGACATGAACGCCCCTGTCAACGCCTGCTCAAACGTCTTACGGGCAGGTGTGTCCTGGGCTTTGTACCGATGGGAAATGATTACGCTGGGAATCGACTTCTCAGTAAAGCTGCAAAAAGCAAAACAAATCAACAATTTTACAGATTTACTTTAACTGAGAGAGAACATTTTGTTCTGATCGAGGGATGAGCAGTTCATCTGAAACCACATCCAATGTGTCCTGTGCCACAAGGACGCACTGAGGAAAAGCAGCTCATAGAATCGCAGAATTGTAGAACTGTAGCTCAGCATCAGGAGAACTGTAGAACTGTAGCTTAGGATCAGGATCAGGCCACAGCTGATGCTAGCCATCTGAATCTGATTCTCAAAACCATGGCAAACGTGTCAAGGCTTGCAACCAAATAGTATGGATTCAGCAAAGAGAGTTTGTGTTCACTTACCCAGAGCTCAAAAGGGTTAACGGGAGCACCAAGCTGAAGTCTTACATGATAGGCTAATTTCATCCTGAGGATTTACTATCAAAATGTCTACTGCATCATCTAAATGCCTGAAACTGGTTTTAAATAGGAACAGTAATTCCCCGAGTATCTCAAGTTTTGCAATAAAAAACATCAATCTGTTTACTAATAGTGCAAGTTCAGTGCCTAACAGAATGAGCTTTCCACCAGGAAATCCCCCATCCAAATCTTGCCTCCACCACAAACTCAACAAATAGCCTTGGGCAAAGGAATAGATCCCAGCCTCAGTCCCTTATTTATAATAATAACGGGACAGCGTTGTTGAGCTTTCCATATGGCTGTTGTAAGGAATACTGAACTAATAACGCATATGAAGCATTCTGAATGTTCTAAAATGCAAGAAAAGTGTTCAGTAACATAGTTCGGTTGGAGATCATCTGTTTCACATGCAGATGGCCCCAGGTTCATTCCCTGGCATCTCCAGGTAGGGCTAGGAGAAAAAACTTCCTAAAACCCTGGAATGCTGCTGCCAGTCAGTGCAGACAGTACAAGGTATAGGTTCCTTTGTACTACAAGATGTTCACTGTCCCTGGCTGCCATTAAAGTCCCCCATAGGCAAGTGTTATCAGTTCCAGGGAATTAGGGGGTCTATTCTTCCCTTTTAACAGTGATTCAAGCTCAATTCCAGGGATCCATTTACCACCCTCTGGCAAGCATGACAAGACATTCAGCCATGAACCTGAGAAGGACCAGGGTATTGCCCCCTGATCAGTGTGTCTGATCAGCAACCCGTGTGCTTTCTGCATCCAGGTTTGTCATCTCTTTCCCCACCTATTTATTTCCTTCTATCTCAACACTGCAGAGTTACACTACAAATCACCCAAACCACCAAACCTGTTTGGTTGTGTACAATGTTATTCCAACTCAGAACAGACCCACTGAAATTAATGGGCATGACTAATGTTGGCCCATTAATTTCAAAGGGTCTACTCCGAGTAACACTCACTTAAGAGACGACCCTCTGTAGAATGCAACCCCCAAGAACTAGGCGCAGCCTGCCAACCTTAGTTTTGCAAGCCATCATAAAATAATCTTACTTCGGATGGGCAAGAAGCTGATACAAAGCATGCTTGTTATCATCCAGGCTCATCATGGCCACCAAGAAGCATTTGATCACCTCCCAGGCCTGCCTCCGGTAGTATGGCTCTGTGTTCGCACTCTTCAAGCAGTCCAAGGCAGTCTCGATGGCCTAAAACAATGGAAGTAATTTGCTTCAGTAAACCATAAGAACAAAAAAAGTGATGCATTTTAGAAGCTGCCTAGCTAAAAAATTGCACAAGCTTCTGTGATGCCCGCTGGCTTAGATCAGTGGTCCCCAAAGATTTTCTCCCCTAGACCACTTGAAAATTGCTGACCGTCTTTTCTTTTCCCTGCTGCCAGTTCTAAAAACTACAATGTGCTGTGCCAGTGTTTGTTATTTTTAATTGTATTTTTATTGCGTCTTTGTTTTGCACATTGAATTTTATTGTATTACAATTTGAATTCTGAAGGGTCTTCAGACCACAGTCTGGGAACCCCTGACTTCAGTATCTTTAAGAGGGGATTACATTACAAAGTCACATGCAAGGGCACCCTTCTAGGCAGCAACCACAAAAAATGGTGAGCAGCACAGCACTATGAACTACAATGTATTGATAATGAGAAGAGTTTACAATAAAATAGACAAAATAATGAATACATTTGCAAGGCTTACAGTGAACCACAAAGCACAAAAATTACTGAAGGATGCTCTAAGCAACTGACAAATATAATTACACTTGCAAAGTATACATTTCACAGTGACAAACCGTACTGCACAAGAATTATTATTGCACTGAAGAATGTTCTAAGCAGCTGACGTTTCAGCTGCTTAGAGCTTTCTTCGGCACAACAATAATAAAAACAGCACCAATAATTATAATATAATAATAAAGTATGTTTTGTACTGAAGGGCTCACTGTAAGCCTTGCTGGGACGTACATTTTGCAAGTGTAATGATATTTTGTCTACTTTATTGTATCAATTTCTTGTTGGTCACAGTCATACGCTCTTCAGCATTTTTTGTTTGTTTAAAAGAGGATTAGACAAATTAGATTACTATCAGCAGATTTGATAAGCAAATGGAATTCCCAAGTTCAGAAGATGTATATGGCTTGAATATCAGCTGCTAGAGAGCAACATTGCATGCTTTGAGTGTAGATTGCCTAAGAGTGTAACAAAAGCCCTGCTGATGCAGGCCAATGGCCCATCCAGCATCCTGCTCTCACGGTGACCAACCAGATGCATGATGGGAAACCCTCAAGCAAGACTTGAACGCAAGATCACTCTTCCCAATCCTGCGGTTTCCAGTAACTGGTATTCAGAAGTGTCAGAGCTGCTCCCAGATCCTAGCTCACAGAGGATCACGCTAGCCAGCGTTCGCTTTATAAAAGTCTTTATTGAGTTACAGTTTCCATTTCCAAGCTGCTGCGTGCAGCTCTACGTCTTATGGCTAGACCGGCGAAGCTCCGTCTGAGTCTCCGCCCCTTGTACACCAACTTAATATCCTCGCCTTACTCCACCTTTTCCGCCTGACCGTCCTTCTCTGGGTCCCTCTGCCCCCCGTGGTCTCTTCCTTCCTGGACTCCTCTGATGCTGACCCCTCGGACCCTCCTGTCTCCTTGCGCCGGGCTTTAGGACCTGGCTCCCTTTCCGGGCTGCTTACTGCGCTGCCTTCCTGTGCATTTGAACTTGGCGCGCGCGCCCAACCTTCCACTTTCCGCTTGACCGTTTCTCCGCTCCCCGATGGAGGTGTGGTCACTCCTGACTCATGCCCTCCTCCCTGCTGCGAGCTGCCAGAGCTCGATCCCTGACGCCCTTCCTCTCCACTGCGCTCTGCTGGGGACGCTGGCCCCGATTTCCAACTGCTGCCCTCTGAACCCCCGCTGGTCCCTTCCTCCTGGGGTGTCCCCCTAGGCTCCCCCTTTGCTCTGGCCACTGGCGCTCCTTTCTGTGAATCTTCTGATTCACTGGAAAGACTCGGAGATCTCGGGTCGTCGTCATCACTCATCCTTTCTTCGGACTCCTCCCCCTCGCTCTCTGTTTCCTCCCTTGCCCTCGCCTCTGCTCCTGAACCCCTGACAAGAAGCATTACTGCCTCCGACTGTGGAGATAAGAGCATCAACATGGTGGCTGGTTCTTCTTCTTTGGCGATCACTCCTAGCCGAGTAAGACTGTCTTCCATAAACACAATTTTAACAATAAGTTCGTAAGTGGCTGTGGAGGCCAATTCTGGATCCACACATCCTTCCACAGTGGGGACACTGGTTTCCAGGCGGGAGTTGATCATGGTGTGGATCTGCCAAGCATGCCTTCCTCTTAGCACGTTTCTCCCTTTTGTCCTGAGTTCAAGTGTCTTCAAAGCCCATGACACCTTTGGTAAAGGCTGTTCTCCAACTGGAGCGCTCGCAGGCCAGTGTTTCCCAGTTGTCAGTGTTTATACTACATTTTTTTAGATTTGCCTCGAGACAGTCTTTAAACCTCTTTTGTTGACCACCAGCATTACGCTTTCCATTTTTAAGTTCGGAATACAGTAGCTGCTTTGGAAGACAATCATCAGGCATCTGCACAACATGACCAGTCCAACAAAGTTGATGTTGAAGAATCATTGCTTCAACACTGGTGATCTTTACTTCTTCCAGTACACTGATATTAGTTCGCCTGTCTTCCCAAGTGATGTGTAAAATTTTTCGGAGACACCGTTGATGGAATCTTTCAAGGAGCTGGAGATGGTGTTTATAAGTGGTCCATGTTTCACAAGCATATAGTAAGGCTGGTAGTACAATAGCTTGGTAAACAAGCATTTTGGTTTCCCTGCAAATGTCCCGGTCCTCAGGCTGGTAGCTACTGATAGCCTTATCTATGAATTTGTCTAATCCTCTTTTAAAGGCATCCAGGGTTACAGCACAACTTTGTGGGAGCAAGGTTCATAGTTTAACTCTGCTTTCTTTTGTCTGTCCCATAAATACCTGGAAGGACCTTTGATCCAGCAATACTAAACATAAAACTGAGATCTGAAGTCACTGAGATACACACACAAAATGTACAATGCTGTTTTCTCGATTTAGGTACAGAAAGGTCCACAAAGGAATCTAGAAGCTTAGGAACATTTGCTCCTTCCTCCTGCTCTGCACCGACTTCAGCTGCAATTGCTTCACGCTCTTCCTTGCGGTGTGGCAAAGGTTTGCTTTCCAAAATGGTTCCCTTACAAGTTTTCTCAGAAGAGTTAAAGAGAAAGTGAGCCAAGCACTTTGCACACACCGTAAATGGCAAAATGCTGCTTTAAGCATCTCATAAGGAAAATCAAACTTTCGTACAAAAAACCTTGCGCGACAGCAAAAAAGCACTCTATACATGAGACTCAGGAAAGGCATCTTGGAGTCTGAGACCAACTTAATGACAATTTATAGGAGTCCTTTCACGGCAACCACTCTGTGAAGCTCCAGGGCTCATGGTTTTGCCGACCCAAGGCAACCCAATAAAAGTTATCATCTCGACTTATTCTCTGATTTAATACACATGCACACACAAGTATGTTTTTGCTCCAAGATGAAGAAAGCAGGCACCCAGAATAGGACATTGATCAAATGTAATCCAGCTGAAAAATTCATCTGAGAGCCATGAAATAAGAAATTTCATTGCCTAACTGATTGTGAAAGGAAATCCAATCATCCATGCTTAAATGCTGGAGATAAAATTATGCAGATAAAAGTGACCTTTGAATGCTAAGGACTCACCCCCCCCCCCCCGCAACAACAGAACCACTCTTGTTTGCAGGGGGGGAAATAGTATTTCCAGTCATGAATGAAACTGGTCGCTTGCCTCTCCTACACAACCTTTCTCAAGTTTTCAATAAAAAAAACAATGAGTTTTCCACAGACCACTGAGGTGGAACTTCTCTCACTATACAAGGCTAACACGAAAGATGGATTTCTTCTGTTGGCACTTCATTCCAATTCTGGAGAGATCAACTGTTTTTACTCCCAGCTCTGTGAATGCATAGTGTAAACAGAGATTGCTTCCTACTCAACCTGAAAAAGCTGGCAGGAATTTTATTTAGTATGGGCATATCTACAGCACTTTTCGTTTTATGGCTGTCTATGCAAAGACAGATTTCTAGTCTACATTCAAAGTAAAATAATGGCATAGTTGAATTCAGAACTGCAGAGACGTAATGCTAAGGGGGAGAAAAAATTAGCCAGAAAGGTTTCACTTACTGTCTGGCAACAATGAGGTGAAAATATCCTGTCTTGGCGCAACAGGATAATTAGTCCTATTTATAAAAAGCATTAATGGCGAGGAAGAGAAGAGGCCAAATTGGATCAAAGCTGAGACATCGTGACCTGCCAAATGCTGTTAAGTGATTCAAGAGTTCACAGCCGGGATGCAAGCCCAACAACAAAAATATGCAAGCTAAAATATACCCATCATTTAAGTGGCAGGTTCTGTTGGATTAATTTGCTAGAAAGCTCAAACCAAGTAAGTATTTAACAACTAACACTACACACACAAACACGAAATTGTTTGCCTTAGTCTACTATGTCCTAAATACAGACTCAGAAATTTTATAGGCCACAGCAGGATTCTCCTCTCACCACCATTACAATGCCCTTCTGAGCTGATCATAGTTTTCACTATGATGGCAGAAAGAGATGAGCTACAGGCATAAGCTCCATACCTATGCAACAATGGATTTTAGATGGGTCTCAAGTATAAAGGAATCATCATGCAGCCCACACAGACTTAATACAACAATCCTAAACATACAGTGGTGCCTCGCAAGACGAAATTAATCTGTTCCTCGAGTCTCTTCGTCTTGCGTTTTTTTCGTCTTGCGAAGCACGGCTATTAGCGGCTTAGCGGCTATTAACGGCTTAGCGGCTTTAAGAAAAAGGAAACCAACTCGCAAGAACTCGCAAGACGTTTCGTCTTGCAAAGCAAGCCCATAGGGAAATTCGTCTTGCGGAACGACTCAAAAAACGGAAAACTCTTTCGTCTTGCGCGTTTTTCGTCTTGCGAGGCACCACTGTACTTTCTAAGAAGCAAGCTCCATTTAACAACTTCATGTTTCACAAAGGTTGCAACAGGCATCAACAGGATCTTAAGGAATTTCTGTAGCATAAGTAGTCTCTTGTCGGCAGCTGATGGAACAGACTTCCTCAAGATGGAGCCTTCCTGATGCTTCTAATACTGCTCCCAGCAGGGCCAAAGGTCAGGAATGATAGGAATTGCAATCGGAAAACATTGGGAAAGCACCAATTTGGAAAAGGCTGCAGCAGAAGCCCTTCTAGAATATTTGTGGAAAGGGAATTATTTTGCTATTAGCATAAATATTAAACTTTACCTTCTCCATTGGGAGCTGGATCGATGCTTTGCAGTCGGAGAACTCCGCCGTAATACTGGGGCCTTGAATCTCCGTCACGACATACTGCAACTTCTGAGACTCCTTCAGCATTTTTCTGTTGCTTCCACCGAACTTGCCAAGCACACGATAAGCAACGTGGGAAATGTTCTCTGCTGGATTGCGCAGTGTCCGCCACAAAGCCTTGGAAAAAAGTTTTAAAACATCCATGTGTAGTTCAGAACAAAGTTGGTTCAAAAGAATGCCATATGCTGTACTTTTTTAATTTTGACAGTGAATCCTGGAAGACCTGCTCACTGCCTTGCAGGCCTCTTCCCACCTGCCCTGGAATGGTGGGGCCCTGACTGATTCAGCTGCAAAAGCTGAGTCTGCTGAACAGACTCTAGAGTTGGGATATTGTTTAGGGGACTTTGTGGCGGTGACTGGGGGGGGGTAGTTTCTGTTATTAATTCTTTGTATCTTTAGTTTACACTTTGTGTGGAAATTGTTCAGTTTGGTTGTGTATCTTTTTCATGCTTTATTCATTGCTTCTGATTACTTTCATTACGTTGCAATTATGAATCTTTTTCATGTTGTAAGCCACCTTGAACTATGGAAAATTGTGATGTATACATGTTTTGTAAGCCACCCTAGACTCAGATTTGCTCAAAAGTACAAAAATATTTTAAATTAACTGTTAATTAATTTGGGGAAGAGCCGCAGCTGAGTGGCAGAGCATCGGCTTTGCATGCAAAAAAGGTTCAATTCTCAACATTTCCAGGCTGGGCTGGGAATATCACATGACTTTAACCCTGGAGATCCATGGCTAGTCAGAGTGGAGAATACTGATCTTGATGGACCAACAATCTGACTTCTTATGGTCCCAATTAAAGCTTCCCAAGGCAGCTTCTTATGGTCCCAATTAAAACAAATAAAAATAAACATGAACACTTTCAAATCCGTTTAACAGCAAAGTGAGGGAAGACACACAAAAACAGAGAAAGATAATCCCTGTTATACATCAACATGACTAAACAAGTCAGGATTTTCTCTAGTCTCCCACCCTTGGTCAAAAGACAAATATTAGAATTTGATGTTAACATTTTTCTAGGGTACAACAACCTACATTTTCATTCTTTGAAGGAAGGGGGGGCAGAATTTAGCAACAAACAGTAAGAGAAAAAATGTGCAGAAAGCCTTTGAAAAGTTCAAAATACAAGTGAAACTCCCCACAAATCACCTCAAAGACATAGTTCAATAGTCAAAACCTCGGTTGTCGAACGTAATCCATTCCAGAAGCCTGTTTGGCTTCCGAAATGTTCAACAACTGATAGGCGGCTTCCGATTGGCTGCAAGAGCCTCCTGCACTCTAGTGGAAGCCATCTCAGATGTTAGAAAACCGGAACATTTACTTCCAGGTTTTCGGGAGCCGAAATGTTCCCAAACGGAGGCGTTTGGGAGCCGAGGTTTGACTGTATCACAGTAGGTTCAGGACCTCACAAAGTAGCACAGCTAGCCGAAGAGATGAATTAAAACCCCTATATTTTACACATACCTGAATTAACCGGCCATTTTGCTATTACAGAAAACAAAAGTCGAAAGGAGGACTCAACCCCCATTTAACAGGAAAGTTTCTTCCAGCCTTCTATCACCGTCAAGGCTAAAGCAAAGCAGGCCAGATAACTGAGCAAACACTGACCTCTAAAGGTCCCTTCTGATAACTGCATCTTTACCTGCATAAGCTCTGCCCGCACAGGTTGGATGTGATCATACAGGAAGTCTGGCTGTAGGTTATCCACACACAGCTCCAAAGTCCGCAGGCCCTGGCTGACCAGCGTCTGGGATCCATTCAAGGCAGACACCAAGGGATCCATCAACATTGGCAAATAAGGAAGGAGGGAGCTCAGTCGGACTGGCACGGTGAGGCAGAGCTCTACAAACAAATCCTTCATGTGCTGCTTATGCAGGCCACTTTGCAGCATGTTAAGTCCTGAAATGTGACAGCTGGCGTCAATAACAGCCCAGATTTGCTACCAACAATCATGGACATAAAAAGGAGATGTATATCCCGCCCCGCCCCCCCCTGCCCCCGGCTTCTGCTCTGACCTTGCAGTAGGTTTGGTAGCAAGGGCAAGAATTCCTGATACAGGAGATCGTGGCTCCCTCCTCCAATCGATCGGAAGAGAGCTCTGAGCAGCAAGAAATAGTTGTAGGGCTCCTTGGCTGTCTGTGCAAGTTCCATGGAGCTGTTCACAATCTTGTGGAGGTGTGGCTGCAAAAAAAAATTAAAAATCGAAAAACGGAAGAACAGAGGTTTTTCTTAAGGTGCACTCACACTGCCAGTTTAACAAGAAATCAGCAAAATATTTCCCAGGGACAAAGGTTCTTTCCTGGGAGACTGGAAACATCCTTCATTTGAGGTTTTTAACCAGAAGTTGGATGGCAGAGGTTGCTTAGTAGGGGGTTGGATGAAATGACGTTCTGGATCCCTCCCAACTCTATTATTCTGCAGTGCATGAATTACTAAGCTTAAGGAAGTTAAAGTAAATATATAACCAGGACATTTGATTTTCCTGCAAGCAACAGGAAGCATATCCGCAACGCACCGTGGAACTTTGGGAAATCAAGTGAGCAGATTTTGGGTATTTTTCCCCTCCATTTTTGTTTTTTACTTAATAGAAGAGTTCTGTAAAAAGCTTGCAAAGTAACCTGGCTGAAAGCAAGCGAGTTTCTGTTTGGTCTGTGTCTGGATGGAAGACAGCCTACGAACTGTAGGGACATGGCGTAAAATTCTATCATGAAAGGAAGGCCAACTATAAAAAGGTACCAAATGATGCATCCATGGAGGCAGATAAGGCTATCAATGACTACATGGAACCAGAGGCAACAGTGCCACTGAATGCCACTCACTAGGGGACAAACAATGGAGGAGAGCTGTTACTACTTGTGGGCTTCCAGAAGGCATATGACTGTTAAAATAAAGTGGAGATCTATTATAAAAGGAAGGGGAAGCCAAAAAATCCAAGTCCTGGGGATCAATGGACTGAGCCAATGAGCTCTGCCCCCGTTTCTGAAGCATGCCGTACCATTTGTCATCCTATTTCCTTATTCTCTCACACAGAGCTGCACCAAGCGAACGCACAATGCACAAAGGGACCAACATGATTAGCACAGTACAATTTGGATTAATGCATCCTTAGAAACACAGAAGAAATTAAAAGCCTTGTGCAAGCTATTACAAAAAGAAGAAGAAGACAGATCGACAAGACTCGGCCCAGGTACAAACTCTGAAATAATTATGGGTTTTATTAACATCTAAAGGCCCTAGACCTTGCTTCACAATTGCTGCGAATAGCTTTCATCACTCAAATTAAATTGTCTACTCAAGGCCACACCATCAATTCTTGAGAATCAAATAATTTAACAGGCATGGAGTGGCGACGGCAGTATATCACACCATTTAAATTGGATTTGCCGTTTATAAAATGAAAGTGACCTTGGTTCTGGCAGCAGAATAAGGGAACACAATGCATCAGAGGCAGGATGCCTTACACATTTGGGGCTCCTTTACAAGACAGGAAGTGCTTGAGTTCAATTATTAATCCGCGAATAATCAGGACTTCCTGGCAGAGGAACAAAATAGTGCACTGTGTATTTAAAACAGCAAGCCATCAAAGTCCAATAAGGAATGAACAGTGCCAATAAACTCTCATCGGAAGCAAAGCAGCTTTGTAAACATTGCTCAGGAACCGAATAACAACTTACATTCATCCAAATGTAAATCTGGATGAATTCTATTCTCCCCACTTTGAATAGCAAACTTTCCTATCTTATGTCACAAACTGCTTTTGATTGGTTTGCCAATTGGTTGATTGGTTTACCAATTCACATACATATGTATACAGTGTAACCTCTACCTGCGACCATAATCCGTTCTGGAGGTCGAAACAGGTCGCTGGGAGAGGCACCATTGTGCGCAGGCAGCGATCACCGCTCCTGCGCATGTGTGACCAGCGGCAAACCCACTGGTTAGTTCTGGGTTTGCTGCGGACGTTGGGCAAAATGGATGCAAGCGGAGGCAGACATAAGAAGAGGTTTGACTGTATATAAAATCTACTAACAATAACATCGAGGAGAGCCTAGACAATGGCTTTACTTATTCTGGCTTTAGAGAACTCTCAGGCAGTGTTTTCTCATTATCATGACGTAAACTGGGTTACAGAGATGTTGTTGTTGTAATTTTAATCTTTTTAAAGCAGAAACTGGCTGGCACGTGGCCATCGCTTTGTACTACGCTGTATGTTAGACAATGGCTAAAACAATGAAATTGAACTCAAAACTGCTTTCAGAACTGCCCTCTGTTTCAAAAGAGGTTTGCTGTATAGCCTGATGCCTGAACGAAAGCAGCCTTGAATGCACAAAGAAGCCACCATGACAATCTTAAGATGTCATGTTTTATAGAGAGTGCACCTCCTTTATGATGCAATCCTACACAAATCCACTCAGAAATACGTCCCACCAAATTCAGCAGGACTTGCAAGGTAAGTGCATATGGGCTTGCGGCCTAAAGCTCAAAATCTCATGGGAACTATACTCTCTCTCTCTCTCTATATATATATATATAGTGGTAGATCCCATAAGATTTTGAGCTTTACACACACACACACACACACACACACACACGTACATTTCAGAAGTCAACTCTGGGCGCAGGGTTGGTGAGATCTCACCATTTTTACCCGTTTGCAACATTTACCTTAAGCATCTGTTCGTTTTCCGCTGCAAAAAGTGAAACGGAGCCAAAGACTAACTTGAAAAGTTTGAGATACAGGTTGGAGAGCTCCACGTTGGAGCCCATCTCAGGCAACCGATCCAAGAGATACTCCACCAGGATTGTGGCAAACAGAGCTGAGGTAGTTGGGTTGGCCAAGAAAGAATTGGCAACAATCTGTCAAAAGGAGAGAATGAAACAATTAGGAATAACCACTGGCAATGATTTCTTTTTTCAAAAAAACATTTGCTTAACGTTATCGGTCACTGAGTTTATTTCAAATTGTTTTCAAGTAGCTTGCCTTTTTACAATTTCATTTCACTGACTCAATTTCATTTGATTCCACAAGAAGGAAACAAGAGTAGCAAGCTATGCATCAAATAACAGTTCCTCCAAACCACTGTCCATTTCCAGTGAGGACAAGAGCTATTGTCAGTTCAACTTAGTGTAGTTTATTGCTTAACCCAGCGTTTGCTAACCTGCTGCCCTCCAGATGATTTGGACTACAATTCCCATCAGCCCCAACAAGCCTAGCCATGCTGGCTGGGGCTGATGGGAACTGAAGTCCAAAACATTTGGAGAGCACCAGGTTGGCAAAGGCTGGATCAGCTGTAAAGGCGACAGAATGACAACACAGTGGCATGTTAACAAAGTAATCTTCCAAGCTCAACAGAAAGTTTTTGTTGGGGCTCACACTACTATCAAGTACACGAAACATACTACCTGAAGGGCATAGTTCTTAGAGATTCTTTCAACCATGTATGGAACTGTCGTCTGGAAGATTTCTTTAAAAGTCAGAGCATTCATCATTGTGAAGACGCCGGCAAAATGCTCCAGGACCTCCTTCTCCTCTTTCATCCTGACGGTCTGGCAATTTGCAACTCGGATGTACGTCTGCCCATTTCCAGCTATTTGAACCTTTTGCAATGGAGACACAAGACAGGATTCAAGTCAACATGCACCCCCACCACCATTTGTACTGGCTTTCAGTCTCAAAATATCCAAAGCAATTGAAAAGCCGCAAATTGAAAAAATGATTTGGAATAAGCCATGGAGATTAAAATTACAGAGCAATTAAACAACAGCTAGGATACGTGCCTGATAAATATCCAAAGCTTGCATTGCATATTTGACCAGCTTGATGTATATTTGTGTCTCTTTAGGTTGCAGCTGCTTATTGGGAATGAACTGAGCTTCTGAAAAAAGAAGAAAAGGAATTGAAAGAGAAATTACTTTTTACAGCTAAAAAGTGTGCACTTGTGCAACAAAATGGGAAAAACTAGAGCTGCTCACAACAATTAATCGATCCCACAGTTTAATCTGCTTCAAAACTTTGAATCTAAAAGGTGCCCCCAATTAATCAGGCAGCACATTTAAATATGTGTATGACTATTTTTAAAATGGGTGCTTGTATTTCTGTATTAATACGCTGTTCACAGCTTTGGGGGCCTTTCACCGGTACACAAACAAAGCCTAATGCAATAAAATCTGCAGACAGCAAGCAGAATCTTAGCCAATTCTCCCTTTTCCCACATCACCATAGAGGAGGAATTTCACCTAGAGCACATGCATGCATCACCTAAGCGCAAAGGGTGTTTCTTGTTTCGGAAATAATAACCCAGAACGTAAGAAGAGTCCTGCTAGATTAGGTCAATGTCCCATCTAGTCCAGCATCTTGGTCTCACAGTGGCCAACCTGATGCCTACAGGAAAACCTGCAACTACCACCTGAGCACAGGAACACTCTCCTCTCTTGAGGTTTCCAGCAACTGATATACTCATATGCATATTTTAAATAAATGGGTAACTAAAACCCATATGATAAATTGCTTTAAAAAAAAAAAAGGTTGCACCACCCTAGGAAAAAAGCCCAGGTAAAATTCGAATCATGCCACCTTACCACCAGGAGCTTTGCAAGAAGTGATACCCCAGGTAATCGTCTTGACGCCGCAGACCAAGGTTTTCACCAAGCTTCGGCAATCCGTGACTTGGAAGGTTTGCTTGTCTTCCTTCTCCTTCTCCCCTTGCTTCTCAAAGACAGGCCCCGGGGCAGGGGCCACGGGAGTGGTGGGAGCAGGGGACGGAACAGGAACCGGAGCGGCATTTCCTCCAGCCGGCACGCTGGGCAAGGCGGCTTCTCCTGCCCCAAGTTCAGACTGCGGCTTGCACTTTTTAAAGATCACGGAGAGCTGATAGCGGGCAATGGTGTGGAATTTAAGGACGAAAACCTGGAGGACAAAAAGCACCGTCACAACAAAGTAAGATTCATCATCTGAGTCTAGGTGTAACGCCAAATCCGACAACCAGTGAAAGAGGCCAGAATGATACTGGCGTTCACACACACAACACACCTCCCTCTGCTAGAAGGCAAACCATCACTTGCCATTAGAGCCGGACAAACTATGGTTTTGAACTTGCCCTCCAAACTGGGATCACAAAGCAGCTTCGAACTATGCTTTGCCATTCCCCGTATGAAGGGCAAGTGCAAGCCATAGTTTTGTCCATTCAGATGTAATGACAACCGGTGGTTTCCCTCCAAACAGGAGGCAGCACAAAATAGAAGAAGCGAATGCATGAGCCCAAGGGTGGTTTTCAACTCAGGTTTTAACTCAGAGTAGATCCATTAAAATTAATGGAGCTAACTTAAACATTCATTCATTTCAACGGGTCTGCTCCAAGTAAAACACTTTGTTGAATAACACCTCCGGTCCCAAGTAGGTCAATCTACCTTTTCCATTTAGATATATATTTAATCCCACCTCCTCAGCACAGAGGCCTCGTTTTTGAGCAGCTATGTGATTTTAATGAATATTTTCATTCCAGCACCCCTACTTTAAATGCCACAGTACCTCCAACATCCTCATGAGGATGTCTCTGCCATTTCCATTTTCCTGTTCGCTCTTGGATCGAATGCAGTCCACGAGATTTAGCAGAAGTTTGCATGACATGGTCTGGATACTGCTGGGCAATGATTCATCATCAATATTCTTAGCAAATAACTGGACAGCAAGGGAGAGGTCGTTGAGCGGCAAATGCTGTCGGACATGATGAACCAGATCCGCTAAAGTGCTGTATGCCAGGGGCCTGGGAACACACAAAGAACAAATATACTAGTTACTTTAGCGTAATATCTCCAGTTTATGTGTTGAGACGATATGTGTGAAGCCAACATAGACGTCCAACACACAATGATGAGGAGTGAAACGGTGGTAACCAATGCTGGTCCTACTCACAGAAGACCCATTTCAATTAATAAACAGGCCAATGGGCCACCCAGTCTAGGATCCTGTTCTCAAGGTGGCCAGCCTAGGAGAAGCATGCACACAGGACCTGAGTGCAAGAGCAACTCTCTCCACTCATGTGATTCTCAGCAACTAGTATTCAGTGAAATCCTGCCTCTGATGGTGGAGGTTGTTGGAATCTGTCTGTAACAAGAGACAATGGAGTACACCTCCGGGGACAGAGTCAAACCGCTGCTAGCAGCACCAAAGTGACCTCTCTAGGGAGCAAGCCTGGGCAGCGCGCATGGAGGTCCTGGGCTGCCCAAATGGCAAGGCCCCACTCCTGGCCTCATTGATGTAGTCCAGGCATGTCCAAAGTCCGTTTTGGGGGCCTAATAAACTGTGGTAGTTTATTTCCTGGGGTAAAATCCTAAGAAAACCTCAACACCTGCAACCCTTAAAAAAAAGGAAAAAAGGTCAACAACTGTAATTCTAAAAAAAGGTCAACAACTTTCGTTGGCCCTTTGGTTGGCCCCCACGGCCCTTCACTTCATCAAATCTGGCCCTCTTTGAAAAAAGTTTGGACACCACTGATGTAGTCCAAAGGAAAGCAGAGCAATATGTTTGGCACCATCTTGGCTGCAGGAGTTGCCAAAGAAGGCATAAAAGGAGCCATCTAACCTGGGGACTAAACTTAGTAGAGTAGAAAACAGCCATCATGGCACATGCAAGAAAAGATGCCTTGTACAACCATTAACTTATCAGCCGACCCCCTGTAGAGAAGACACAATGGAGAGAAGAGGGGGACTGGACCTGCCAGCAGTGCCAAACCATCTGCACATTCAGGGACCATTGAGAAGTGGACATAACTGGGGATCTCAAAATGCACAGAGCTGCAAACTCTCCTTTCTGACAATTCCCTTAATGTATGGACACCAGGGGACTGGGATGCCAGGAGCCTGTCGTGAGTAGGGTCTATAGGTGTGGTCCTCCTACAGCCTCCTTGGGTATAATGTACACACGGAGGGATAATGAGTGAGCAGCCCTTTTGCCTTCTTCAGCCAATAAATGGGAGCGCAGGTAGGACAAAGACCTGGTTATGATCTTGTGCACCCGCTAAAACATCCCATGCGATGGCAGCGTTAACAGATAGAGAACAAGCTTCATTACGCACCTCAGGGTTTCACGGGCCGTGTATCCAGAGCCTATTAGTATGGATTCATCGAACAATTTGTCCATGCATGGAATAAATTCTGTAGTGAAAAGTGACAAGAGAACGCTGTCACGATGGAGGCAACAAAACAAGAATTATTAAGCAGCTTTAATTAATGCAGAAGGCAGTCCAACTAATGGACCTCCAATCAAACATTTCCTGCAAAATTTAGCCTACCAAGCATGACTTTTAATCCTCGGGAAGTGGCAGTTCTGCCAAAAGTGCATTTAACATGCTGCTCTCTTCAATGAAGAAAAAATGCCGCAGGTATTTACTTAGCTTGCAAATATTTGTTTCCTTAAACTGATTCTGAGCACCCTGCCCAAGTTTACTGGAGTGGTACAAACATTTAGAGCCTTCTCATCCCTCTGCAGATCAGCAGAAATACTCCCCTAAGAAATTACCGTATTTTTCGCTCTATAACACGCACCAGACCATAACACGCACGTAGTTTTTAGAGGAGGAAAACAAGAAGAAAAATATTCTAAACGAAATAATGGATATATGATTTTTGTGGTTCATGCTGTGGCCACAGACATGTGATCTGACAGTGAGTTTGGAGTAGCCCAATGCAAAAATCCTGAGGATCCATGTGGATCCATGCTTTGTAACCACGGAGGAGGGAAGGAAGGGGAACCATGGATCCTCTGCTCACGACTGCAGCAGATCCCCCCCGCCACCCGCAGGCATTCGCTCCATAACACGCACAGACATTTCCCCTTACTTTCTAGGAGGAAAAAAGTGAGTGTTATGGTGCAAAAAATACGGTATGTTAAATGTATTAAGGAACACTAGTATAAAAAGATCTCACCAAGATGTGCTTCTGAAACTGTGTATTTCTACATCGTTAATTTCTCTCATTGGTTTAAAGAGCTGAGGGTGATGTACATGCCATTTTACTTTATGTCATTTGACTTCATAACAGCCTTGTGAGGTCGGCTAGGTTTGACTGAGAACATGAAAGCAACATGAAAGGAGATTAACATGCCCCTTTCAAGAGTCAAACACAGATGTTACTTTCCACATCAATATGCTTTTGTGAATGAGATAAACACACTTCATTAGCAGTTAAGTTACACTCAAGACTGCAATCCTTAAAGGGAAGTGCAAGACTAGGAGGTCTGTAGAGCTGGATCCCATGTGCAGAATTAAGCTAAGCTATACCTTTGTCAAATCACGATTTTATAGATCTATCATTCTAGACAATCCAAAAACAAGTTTTATCCAGCACACACCATAAGAAAATGGGTGGAGAACAGAGAATGACTTAATTGTATACAATCCCATATTTCTGCTGTACAAAGTAACCGTGGAAGAGTAGTGTAAACTCAAAAATTTTCTTTTTCCACTCTATAGGCTCACCAGCACCTTATTGGGGGGCGAGGACTTTGCATTTAACTTGGCAGATTCCAGTTGATTTTACATTTACCAATGTAAGATATTAAATTCCCAGATACCAGCAGTCTGATTTGACCTGTTTGACCGGTTCCAGTTCATAGGCATGGCTGATTTTCTATCCACTTCACGCCAAGTGAAGCGAACTCAAACCAGCTCTGAAACTGCTGTGCTAATTGCACCCAGTTGACTCTGGCAGCAATCATAAAGCAACCTTAACAAGAGAGGACTCGTAACACTGAGAACACAGAACCATACCTTGTGACCCACCTCTCACCATTTGCCCACCAACATATTCCAACTATTTAAAATATGCAAAAGGGACATACGGCTCCTCAGGTCCGTGGTCAGAATATGCTTGGCTGCGATGAGAAGCTCCTTTCTCAAGTGAGCTGTTTCTGCAGGACAGTTTGACAGCAACTGCAACATGCCTTTCACCATTTGCTGAGAATACTTGGCCACCAATTCCTGATAATAATAATAATAATAATAATAAATTTTATTTATATCCCGCCCTCCCCAGCCGAGCCGGGCTCAGGGCGGCTAACAACAGTCAAATAACAATCAAATAATAGCACATTCTAAAAATATTTCGTTATAAAAATTAGTTAAAATCAAATTGATGGCAACCGATTAAACAAAATTCTGTGCAGGTTGCCGGAGGAGGGAGTCAGGCTGCGCCCTGACCAAAAGCTTGGCGGAACAACTCTGTCTTGCAGGCCCTGCGGAAAGATGTCAGATCCCGCAGGGCCCTAGTCTCTTGAGACAGAGCATTCCACCAGGTTGGAGCTGCAGCCGAGAAGGCCCTGGCTCTAGTTGAGGCCAGCCTAACCTCTCTGAGGCCTGGGACCTTGAGGGTGTTATTATTTGTAGACCGTAGGTTTCTCTGTGGGGCATACCAGGAGAGGCGGTCCCGTAGGTACGAGGGTCCTAGGCCGTATAGGGCTTTAAAGGTTAAAACCAGCACCTTAAACCTGATCCTGTACTCCACCGGGAGCCAGTGCAGCTGGTATAGCACTGGATGAATGTGATCCCGCAGCGAAGACCCCGTAAGGAGTCTCGCTGCGGCATTCTGCACCCGCTGGAGTTTCTGGGTCAGTCTCAAGGGCAGCCCCACGTAAAGCGAGTTACAATAATCCAGTCTGGAGGTGACCGTCGCATGGATCACAGTGGCTAGGTCAGGGCGAGAGAGATAAGGGGCCAACTGCTTAGCTTGGCGGAGATGGAAAAATGCCGCCTTTGTTATAGCTGTAATCTGCGCCTCCATAGAAAGGGAGGTATCGAAGATTACACCCAAACTCTTAACGGACGGTGCTGGCACTAATTGCACCCCCGCAAGAGATGGGAGTTGCCCCCTCGATCCCATATCGTCCCGCCCCAGCCAGAGGACCTCTGTCTTCGAAGGATTTAACTTCAACCGGCTCCCACGTAACCATCCAGCCACAGCTTCCAGACATCTGGTCAGTGTGTCTGGGGCCGAGTTAGGATGGCCATCCATCAACAGATAGAGTTGGGTGTCATCAGCATACTGGTGGCAACCCAGCCCAAAACTCCGGACAAGCTGGGCGAGGGGGCGCATAAAGATGTTAAAAAGCATCGGGGAGAGAATCGCACCCTGAGGCACTCCACACACCAAGGAGTGACGCGATGACAATTCCCCCCCAAGCGCCACCCTCTGTCCCCGATCAGAGAGAAACGAGCGCAGCCATTGAAGGACTGTGCCCTGGATCCCCACGTCGGCAAGGCGGTGGTCCAGGAGTTCGTGATCCACCATGTCAAAGGCTGCTGACAGATCTAGAAGAATCAGCAGCCCCGACCCGCCTCGATCCAGCTGCCTGCGGAGATCATCTGTTAGGGCGACCAGAGCCGTCTCGGTCCCATGACCAGCACGGAAGCCGGACTGGAATGGATCCAAAGCAGATGTTTCATCCAGAAACCTACCAAGCTGTTCAGCAACCGCTCTCTCAATCACCTTACCCAGGAATGGAAGATTCGAGACCGGGCGGTAATTGGATAGATCTAAGGGATCTAACGATGTTTTCTTTAAGAGCGGACGCACCACCGCCTCCTTCAATTCCCCTGGGAATATCCCGGTGCCAAGGGACAAATTGATGATATCCCCCAGGGGGGCCCGCACCTCGTCTGGACACGCTCTAATCAGCCATGACGGGCACGGGTCAAGAGGACAGGTGGTGGGCTTTCCAGCTTGGAGGAATCTGTCCACATCGGCTGGAGATATCCGGTCAAAGTGGTCCAATACTGGACCCGAGGACAGTCGAGGGGCCTCCAGTTCCTTTATTGTATCCAAATTGGCAAGGAGGTCATGGCGGAGCAACAGGACCTTCTCCGCAAAGAAGCTCGCAAATGCCTCACAGCTGTGTGTCCGATTGTTATTTAAATTTGGCTGTCCTTCAAGGGACGTTAATGACCGGATTATACTAAATAATTGCGCCGGGCGAGAGCTAGCGGATGCAATGGAGGCCGAGAAGTAAGACTTCTTAGCGGCCTTCACTGCCATCTCATAGGTTTTCATAAAAACCCTATAAGATGTTCTTGAAGCTCCGTCACGGGCACCCCGCCATACTCGCTCTAGCCGTCTGAGGTCCCGCTTCATTTTCCGAAGCTCCTCGGTAAACCAGGGAGCCCGGTTTCTGCGGGGTCGCAGAGGGCGCTTAGGTGCGATCTCATCGATGGCTGCCAGGAGCTGGGTATTCCAGCCCTCAACAAGCTCAGTCAATGAGTCGCCAGGGGGAGCAAGGTCCCGCAAGGCTTGACGGAATCTATCAGGGTCCATCAGCCTCTGCGGGCGAGCCCAAATCGGCTCGCCACCTAAGCAGGGTGGGGATGGAAAGTCAATCCTGGCTTTCAGAGCGTAGTGATCAGACCATGGCACCTTCATCGAGGGAGACATGATCACATCTATACCGGCGCCAAAGATCAAATCCAGCGTGTGGCCTGCTTGATGTGTGGGGCCCGAAACAAACTGGGAGAGCCCTAGTGTCGCCATGGAAGACACCAGGTCCAGAGCCTGTGAGGAGGGAGTGGCATCAGCATGGATGTTGAAGTCCCCCAGTACCAATAGGTTGGGGAACTCCAAGGCCCAGCCAGCCACCGCCTCCAACAGGCCTGACAGGGTGGCTGCTGGTGCGCTAGGTGGCCGGTACACCAGCCAGACAGCCAAGCTCACCTCGGAGCCCCACACTAGGCCAACACATTCAATGCCGGGGATCGATGGCGATGGCAGAGCCCTGAAAGAACAGTCTTCGCGGATTAATAATGCCACCCCTCCCCCCCGGCCCACAGTCCGCGACTGGTGGAGGACGGAGAAACCTGGGGGCGCCATCTCTCGTAAGGTAACAGTTTCCCCTTCGCGCACCCAGGTCTCCGTCACACAAGCCAGGTCAACCCCCTGCGAGGTGAAGAAGTCTCGCAGGGTGGCGGTTTTTTTGCCTATAGACCTGGCATTGCACAACACCAGTGACGGAGGTGAGTAAAAATATAGATGCATATATTCCAGCTATATTTATGGCATATATAGGTTAAAATCTCAACCCTGGTAGAGGCATCAATAAGGCTTACTTCCCACTGTGTATACAGAGGCCCCATCTACAGAGGTGGTGGAATGGTTGTATTAAGCAGAGATGGGGATAGGAATCCAAACAAAAAACACAAACAAAAACCAAAATTGGGGAGTGGGTGAGAAGGAAAGTAAGGAGAGGGAATTCCCGCTTTCTTCTACCTCCTATGAATCCTCAGAAATCCCCAGTTATATGGCTTTGTGGAGAATCATTAGTCCTCCATGTGCAGCTGAACAAAAACTCCCATAATCCCCGGCCGTTGGCCATGCTTACTAGGGCTGATGGGACTTGTAGTTCAGTAAAGTTTTCCCCACCCCCTGTGTTATACAAAAACATTGTTTTACACATACTTTTTGGGTGGGGTTTCAAAAGTGTTTCACTTTCACATGGAGTTTAAAGGTTTCTTATTTTGTTCTCTTTTGATACAGCCTATCCACCCATCGAAAAAAGTTCTGTTAACTAGTGGAACGCATGACTCTCTGCCTCCACTGTCCAAGAATGCTCAAACCTCTCGAATGTAACTTACCTGATAAATTCTTATTATGTAGGCCAAGAACGACAACGTTTTTATCTGTGCAGCAATGAAGTCAGCATACAGTTCCTTGTTGTAAAGTTTATGCTGCCTGAAAATTGAACGTCAAACAGTGATTTAGTCTTGCCTTTCCTTTTTTAAAAAAAGTTACCTCATGAATGGTGCTTCTTTCTTTAAAGCTTAAACATTACCATTTACATGGCTAATGTAAAAAGGCTTCGCCAGGAGATTTTCTTATGTAACCTTACCTTGCTTGTGTGGACACCTGAATAATAATTGTATTCATGATCAAGGGTACAAATTCAGCCACCACGTTATGGATGTTCAGTTTGTACAGCTAAAGAAAGAAAAGAAAACAATGTGTGATGAAAGATATATGGTTGTTGCTTACAAGGCAGTTTTCGAACAAACCTGCAACCCAAATAAGTTCGCAGCTTGATGCCCCAAAAGTTACAGCCGCCCTCCATTCATATGCCAGATAAGGGGAGAGGAAAGCACTAAAGTATGGCTAGAAGACAGGGCAGAAATTTAGACACAAGCAAGTTATTTATATGAAGCGTTCCAGTACTCACCTGATACATAAGGACAACAATAATGGGCAGCTCAGCTAACACCTTCAAGGAGAGAGAGCCTCGAGGAATTATTGAATGCTAGGGAAAAAACAGAAGCAAAGGGCAAACATTTCCACAAAATGTCTCTTTTAAAATGGGATTTTTAAAAATTAAAAGCTGTTAGCATGAAGCACAGTTTGACATCTGCTTTCCTGGATCTATTTGTTTCAATATAGCTTGCAAGTTTTAACCAACATGTTTTTTTTTCTTTCTCAAGCTCCAACTTGGTCCACGTGACCCTGTTGAAGACCCGACAAACAGCTTAATGATGCTGGGCAAGCGGAGGATGCAGAGAACATCCTTCAGATGAAAGAGCAGCATCAGACTGTTGGCTGTCACACCCAATGGGAAATAGAAGGCAAGGCGGGGAGTAAGAATGAAGGAAGACAAGGGGAAAGGCAGAGCAGAGAGACATGAAGCAGCAGAAAGGAAGAGACAGAAGGGAAGAGGATAAACTATGAAGGAAAGTAGGGCTGCCATAAAGAGCGTGCCTGGCCAGGGCAACGGAGTAGGGAGGGATCTGAGGCACCAGAGATAGCTTGGTAAGTGAGAGCATGGTGCTGATAATGCCAAGGTCGGCGTTCAATCCCCATAAGGGACAGCTGAATATTCCTGCATTGCAGGGGGCTGGACCAGATGATCCTCAGGGTCCCTTCCAACTCTATGATTCTAGGAGGACTCACAACCCCCATGGGAAGTCAGTGAAAGAGAAAGGAGAGGCAGAAAGGACAGAAACCGATGCTGTATAGGGGAGTGAGACACTGAATGGGTCAGAAATGCTAAATAAATAAAAACAAAAAGAGTGGTGTCCAGTGATGAAAAGAGATAACCAAACTCCACCAGGTGGCAGACAGGAGGTGACATATATTTATTGCTTATAGATGTATTGCTCAGGTGGGGCTCTCCGCAGTCTCCCATCTTGGCACCGCCAAGGTTCATATTCACTTCATGCCAACGCAGATGCACCGTAAACCACAGGGTTCTATTACAAGCTGCAGTCATGTATTATACATACCGTTCTCGTTTCGCTGTCGTCCCGTTCTGGATTTACTTTCACTACGATCGTCGTGATCATACCCACCATTTCTGGAGTAGGAACAGTGTTGTCGGGGATAACCTGAGGATTCTCAAAGTAGCGATTCTACGGCAAGAAGCAAAGAGATTTTGAAGCATTAACAATAGCTGCAGATCTCGCTGACTTCACAAGGGCTGATAAGCTTACAGAGGTGAATCGTGGTTAAAGCAGGGGAAAGCCACTTCTACCAGACTCCGTGGTTGCTGAGGGATGGGGTGGGAGGAAAGGAGGAAGAAGAGCGACTGCTTTGGCAATGAGCTCTGACAACAGGCAACTTTGGCAAAACTCATCGTTGATAATTAATACAGAACTGTGAATATCATACTAAGAATAGTTCAATAAGCTATTAGCTATCTCTGGATACAATTAGCACATGATTATACTGCTGCAATAATAGGGACTGCTGATCGTCTATGATTAATTGTTTTCTCCCAACATCTTTTCTTATAATATGGCATTTACAAAGCCCACACCAAGTGTTTCAGCATCCCTCTCAATATACATTCAGGGCTATTGCAATCCTATCTTTCTACTACAGCCCCTTGCATGTACCAAAAGGTACTTTGAACACATGAAAGCACTATACAAAAAGGTGGTATAAAGGTTGTTGTTGTTGTTGCTGCTGCTGCTGCTGCTGCTGTTATCATCCCGGCCTTTGAATCTCCAAGTGAATCCTGACAAGATCTTATGGAGCTGGTGGCTGGGTGATTGCCAGACCCGCAAGTTCCTGCCAATTTTGCGAGGCAAAATAATAATAATCAAAAGTCTTCCAGAAGGCATAAAGGAAAGACACCAAGTTCGGGTATTTTATCCATGATGGGTCAAAAATGTGGATTTCAGAAGTCGAAAAATAATAATTAAGACCTACCACTACTTTTGGAAGCTCCTTGTAAATCTGTTTCACAAAATCCAAAAAATGATGTATCTGTGGAAAGGGAGAGAAAAAAAGGATGAGTCTATGTTCTAAAAAACTTTTTTTAAGCCATTCTATTTCTAGGTATTCACACTGAACAACTTTAAAAGCAAAGGAAATGAATTGGGCAGGTTCTAAGTAACTAGTTTTAGGGCATCCAATGATTTAGCATGCCCAGTAGGATTACCACTCTCTTGCCAACTTACACCAATACAACAGTATTCATGGATATGTAGGATGGAGCTGTTTAAGAAACTCACACCCAAGTCCCTTGGGGATGCAGAACCCATTGCTCAATTATTTTATACATTGGCCATGCCTAAGTTTAATTTGAGAACTTAGAATTCCAACTAGTGATCTGAATTGTCTCTATACTAATGCACAGTATGGGAAACAAGCAAGATGAATTTGAGCCCTTAATGCAGGATGGCAAATATGACCTAATAGGCATTACTGAAACCTGGTGGGAGGAGACTCATAAATGGAAAGAAGAATTAAGAGGGGTATAACCTGCTCAAAAGGAACAGACCACCAGTAAGGGTGGATAAGAGGAGATATGATAGCCATCTTCAAATATCTAAAGGGCTGTCACATGGAAGATGGAGCAATCTTGCTTTCTCCTGCTCTGGAGGATAGGACTCAATCCAACAGGTTCAAATTACAAAAAAGGAAGAACTTTCTGAGAGTAAGAGCTGTTCGACAGTGGAACAGACTCCCTTGGAAGGTGGTGGATTCTCCTTCATTGGAGGTTTTTAAGCAGAGCTGAGATGGCCATGTCATGGATGCTTTAGTTGAGACTCCTGCATAGCAGGCTGTTGGACTTGAAGGCTCTCAGGGTCCCTTCCAACTTAACAATTCTGTGATTCTATATGTTCTCCCACTTGCAGCCTCAAATGGTAGTTAAGATTCAGAGTTATCCCCTTCGTAACAGCCTTAATTGTAAATGCTTGGAACAAGCCAGTTTTTGAATATTTATTTCCTCCCCAAGTAGCACCTCCCTATGCCCTATGCCCCATTCCGCATTGTTTAGGAGCACCCACCACCACCCACCCACCCACCCCACTGAGTTAAGAGAGAGCCTGGGCACCATGTAGAGCATCACCTAATTGACCTGGTCCATTAAACATTCAATAACAAAGGCACGTTCAACAGGTAGATCGTGATCTACCACCAGTAGATCACCGGACGTCTGCAGGTGATCACTGGCTGCCCCCAAAGAAGCTCAACAACTTTGACCTGAACCCCAGAAAAGGGGATAGATCACTGCCAGTTTTTAACTCTGCGAGTAGATCACAGTCTCTTGGGAGCTGGCCACCCCTGCTGAATAACACACACCCCAACACTCCAGTGAGGCAGAGTGGAGCATAGGTAAAAGGAAAGGACATGACCCTTCCTTATGTGAACTTAACAGCACAATCCTTTATACATCTACTGAGAAGGAAGTCCCAATGAGTTCAATAGGGCTTCTTACTGAGTACACGATTGCAGCCTAAGTTGACTCATCCAATAAGATAGTGTGTACTGTAATAGTAAAACAGCAAACAAATGATTCCTTTACAAGTATTCTAATAATTTATGAAATATATCCATAAAATCCACAACTATATGCACTTTTTCTCATAACTTGAAGCTTAAGTACTTAATTACAATATTCTAAGGTTTCTGAAACCTCCCAGAGATTTCATAAGGAGACAGCAGCACTGGTACAATTCTTTTCCATTGCATTTTCAATTATTATTAGATTATGTTTCTAATATGACAAAGCACAGAATCATAGAACTGTAGACATGGAAAGGACACCAAGGTTCATCTAGTCCAACCCTCTGCAATGCAAAATCACAAATCAAACATATCCAAGTAGTAATACAAAAATAAAACTTTAATAGTACAGGAGAAAGTAATTTACCTCTTGTGTGATTGGTGGCCGGAACTGCTTGTGCAATTCAATGATTATCCTCAAACAAATAAGTACATTTTCTTCATTTTCAGTCTAAGTGTAGGGGGAAAGAGAACAGATTTATTATTTCATGACTGAATTCCTGAACTTTTAAAATAATGTTACAGTTGTCATAGTTTCTGAATTATTCAGAAAAGTGTATTTGCTTCTGTGAAACAGTAATTCCTTAAAAATAATCTTTATTGTCATTTTGTTATGAGAGAAGAAGCCCAAGGTACATAGAGACTTTTCACAAATTACATGAAAATGTTATATAGATGGTATCTAACACATAGTAGATTGCCAAAAACGCATAAATCAAAATCGAATAAGTGTTGGAAATGCAAAGAAAAAGAAGGTACTTTTTATCATATGTGGTGGTCTTGTAGTAAAGTTAAAACTTACTAGGAAATGATATATAATGAACTGGAAAAGATGTTCAAGGTAACATTTGTAATATAAAGAAGAAGAAGAAGAAGAAGAAGCTTTTCTCTTGGGAATTATAGGTGTAGAACTACCCAAACAGTACAGAAATTTATTTATGTATAAAAGAAGGGAAATGGTTTATTGAATATTTACAAACAAATTGTAAACAGATAAAGACACTGGCAGAATTACTGTAATAACCTGCAGTTTCAAAAGGACATATAATCAAAATAGATGAATAAAAGATTAAGTTGTTAATTTAGAATATGCAGGAAATGATAAAATAAATTTAAGGAACTGCAGAAAGAGGAGGAAGGAAGTCGAGGTTTTAAATGTTAGAACTATTGTTAAACTATTGAAATGTATATAAACAAAAAGCTATAAATAAAATTATAAAAAATAGAGACTTTTTACAACAGTGGGGACAACAATAAAACATAATAAATTAGGAGAGGAGGAGGAGAAAACCAGGATGTAGCAAAAACATGCAATGCAGCTTTACACAGCGATCATAGAGAGGAATAAGAAAGTAGGTTAATCTTCTACAAAACCTCTCCACACAAGTAACCTGGAAAATTGGAGGTTTGGTGCATTTTGCATCTCAGTTGACAAATGATTTTTTTTAATGCCACATAAAATGAAAACGGCCTATTTTTTAGTTGCCCCTAAGGGCTCTCATTCGCTGCATTGTGTCTCATATACAAGCAGATTGGGATAACAGAACAACACATGACATTTAAATAGTACTCCATCACTTCTAGTTATCTTTCTAGTTATGAAGTTTCAAAGGTAGGTAAATCCACAACAGGAGTAATTCTTTTTTTTAAAAAAAAAGTGGCAAAGATTATATTTTTAAAGTACAGTACCTCTAGAAATCTGAACATCACAGATAAGATATTTTTGGTGTGCGGTCGAAGATGTTCATTTGTTGGTATTCTATGGATTATTTCCAGAACTAATTTTCTCAGTTGCTGGGGAGAGATAAAAGGAGGGTCATCAAATCAAAATGTATAACTCAATGAAAAGTCATATGGTAAAACCCTAACAGCTTGAGGAACATGTTAAAGAAAAACACACAGATAAAATGCCAATATGCATAAATAACAAAGCTTCCTTCTGGTTTGCCAAAAAGCCTGAGAGAAAGAGAAGAGTTCGTTTCAAAATATACCTGTGCTGGCTTTTCCTGCAGAAATTGAACCTCTCCGTCCTGGAGAAAAGTAAGGAAGCGAGGAATGATGTGTTCCAGGAATGTGGAATACTGCTGGGATGACGTCACATTCTAGTAGGAGAAAGCAATGTTTTAAGGATCTTTATTTCAAACATGTACACAATGTGGAATTAAGTACTTTAGTGAAAGCATGGCAGTCAAAGGTTTCATAGCCAACCACTTCAAGCTGCTGCAGCTACTAAAACAAAACAAGGCAAAAATTCTTCAAGCTGCTATTTCGCTCGTTTTGAGGACAATGCATACATATTGCCAGGCTTGAATAGAGGGATGTGCAAACGGCCAAGAAACTTGCAATCCCATTGCCTCCTTCCCAATACTTGAACTTTAGTGTGTTTCAGCAAGCCCACAAAAGTTAGTAACCTGCTCCCCTTACAAAAGAAAATTTGCTAGGATACTTGTCATTTGCCTTGCAATGCTGGCTGCAAAAAAACAGAAGCCCCCACCACTGTGGCCAGCTTAGAAACGCAGATTACTGGCCTCTTAGCAGAATAGTTTTTTAAAAACAAAAACAAAACCTACCAAGCAGGATAGCAGTGGAATGATGGAGGGATCCACCCCTTCTCCACCAGTTCACTGTGGTTCTGGGTTGGTTAAGGAGGAAGAAATTTTCCTTCCTCTGTGGCCAGCACAGAAACCAAGCAGACTGCTGAAGGAGAGCTGGAACTATCTGTCCCTCCTCCACCAGATCAAAACCCACCTGTATGGTATACCTGGTAGGCTATGGCTCACAGCAAACGTGTTATACTCAAGGCTGGCTTGATTTGTATCTCTGCACCAAGCCTAAGTAGATTTGGGGGCGTGGGACAATTTTAACTGTCCTGATCAGATTTCAGTTGGGTGGGTCTCTAGTAGAGAAGCCACCTTACATAATTATTGTTTGAAATCTCTCCACAAAGGTCTACAATGTTTAGATCAGTACGACAGCGATCTGATTTTCGTTACCTCAAAGTTTTCGCTGACTTCTTGCATCATCTTCAGCTTTGTTTCATCAGCTACAAATCAAGAATAGAATAATAAAAAGGGGGGGGGGTTAAACGACATGTTTGACAGATATTGAAGAAATGCTCTTTGACCGCACTCCAAGAAGCAGTCAGATCTTATCAGTTTAGCTCTCATGACCCAAATTTTGAATTCCACAAATCACAACTCTCACTCAAACACACCTGCACTCATCCATCTCCACGCAGTCACACACAATGTTACTTTTTCAGGGTTCAAGAAAATATTTTTCATCATTTTGCTTCTTCATTAAAGCAAAGCTTAAGGTGACCGTGGAGTTTACTGAACCATGGCCCGGTGCAGACACAACTCTGGCTCACTCCAATTCCTGATTTCTTGGTCAGGAACCAACCTCAGGCCCATATTCCCTTCACTCTCCAAAACAATTTCCTTTTTTCCCTGAGGACCTTAATCACAGTCTAGCATTCACTCTACAGCAATGCTACTACCTAAAGTGAATGCTAACCAGGTTCACTCTTCACCCAAGGTTTGCAAACCCACTTCAAACTTAAGACTTTACACTGCGGTAAAGATGGGGACTCCTGCTAGCATCAAGAATGCTCAGGATTGGTACAGATAAAATTCAAAATCATGCTTAAGGCCAATAAGAATTCACATATGACAGGAAAGATGAAGGTTGAGGACATTCCCAAATTTAGGTTCTGATTTGCGGGCTGCAATTTGCAAGAGCCAGTGATACACCTGCACTAGGCCAGTGTGAATAACTCGTCTAGCAGATGAAGCAAAAATAGAAGAAAAAACCTGAAAATACCAAACTTACGTGTATTGACATCCGTTAGAGCTGCCACAAACTGGAGGTATTTTTTCATTAAAGTGGTTTGGTCAACCACAGTGGGTCCTTGCGTTGAAACAAATGCCATTTTCCCCTCGTTTGAATGTAAGTTATCACTTACAAAGAAGAGTTAAAGACCTCAAGGATCACTCAGCCTGTTAAAAACAAAATGCAAGGCTACTTTAACAAACAATAATAATAATTTAGACCCCACCCATCTGGCTGGGTATCCCCAGCTACTCTGGGCAGCTTCCAACAAAATATAAAAAATAATAAAATGCCACAAACATTAAAAACTTCCCAATACAGGGCCGCCTTCAGATGTCTTCTAAAAGTTTTGTAAATCTTTATCTCCTTGGCATATGATGGGAGGGTGTTCCACAGAGAGGGTGCTACCACCGAGGAGGTCCTCAAGAGGTGGACCTCAGTGTCCAGGCTGAAAGATGGGGGTGGAGACGCTTCATCAGGTATACTGAAGCTCATTCAGCTATACTGAAGCCCGGTGTCAACTCACGCATAGTGGGATACCAGGATCACCCCAACCATCCACATAGGATGCTTCAATTGCCCTTCATGCATTGAATTTCACCTTTGCATAAGGAACGGCTCACCTAGGCCCACACATGAGCAGGCCTCTGGCACACTATCTATATAACTCAATTTTTGCCATATAAGGACCCAAAGCTCCCACTGCTGCATTTTGCAACCAACTGAAATGTCCAAACACTTTTCAAAGACAACCAACCCCACACACTGCAGTAATCTAACCTGGATGTGACCATGGCATGTTGAACAGTAGTCAGATTTGCATTCTCTAAAGAAGGATGCAAACTATGTTCCTAAGAAGGTACTCCAAGCCTATGCACAGTGACTCAGGTGTAAGAACCACTGTAGAAAGTGGACTGACTTCTAAGCTAACATGCTTAGGATCCAGATGTAAAAGTGCCTTTTCTGTACTTTTCTGAGAGTAAGCAGTAGCCAAAATGTGACTGCAGAACAGACTGACGTAATGGCATTATACTTCCTGCGCTTCGACTTATGGAGGGAGAAACAGAATTACCTTAAAATGAGCTAATGTTTTCCTTCCTTGCATGTGTGACATTGAAATAATTATTTGGGAACTGAAATGAATTCTGCTCACTCTGTTGTCAAATATGACTGACAAAAGTTTTGAGGGTGGGGCATATGTGCATCTGAATAAGATGTTTTAATTTTCCTCTCAAAATATTTGTTATATAAATTATTATTTATATCAAAAACTCCTATCCCAGTTCTCTCTTCCCAAAAGAAGTTGCTTGAAGCAGCTTTGGAGAGATAAAAAGAAGCACAAAAATAGAAATGATCAATTATTTAAAAACACCATCACCGGCCTAAAAACAGGAGCAAAGGAATAAAGACACAAAAAGCCAAAACTAATAATAAACATATCAAATTAAGCAACAACAAAAGCAAAGGCTTGTTTGCAAGGAAATGACTTCACTTTGCCATATATTTATTTTGTAGGCATTTCAGTGCAGTAGTTGGAAGTCCTTCATTAATCATTCTTAGGGCTACAGTGTTTGGCCAGACAAGACGGTCAGCCAACATGACGCCCTCCAGGTGCTGTGAACTACAACTCCCATCATCCTTAACCAAGTAATGCCTAGTGGTCAAGGATTATGGAAGTTGTAATGTCTGGAGGGCACTTGGTTGAGAAAGGCTGCTTTAAAAACACACAGGCTTAGACCCAGGAACACACAAGTGCCACAAAGGATGCCCACCTCTGTTCTAAAGTGCTTGCTATGGTGCATTTGTGTATCATCTCTAGAACTAAAGCCAGTGGGATTCTTTACTTGAAAACTAATTACACTTAGGAACATTTCCATCCAATTGCTCAATCAATGTTTATTTAATTAGGTGACAGGGTAATCATTCTATATAAAATATATTAAGGCTGTAGCCAATGTTAGTCCGACTAAGAATCAATCCACTGAAATTGATGGATATGACTAACTTGAGTCCATTAATTTCAGGTGTGTACACTGAGTAGAACTTCATTGGGTACAACCCATCATGCAAAATACTGGAGCTAAACCAGTTGTTGTTGTTAAAAACCTTAGAGATCTTTAAAAACATCAAAGACTACTGGAAAACTTGTAATGGTTCAATTCCCCAATTTCAGTCATTGGCCATAACACAACCTGGGCAAACATGTGATGTTTTCACTTGGTAACAGTTCACATGCATTAAAATAGCTGGGTTTCAAAGAATACACAGTAGCATGGGAGCATGACTGCAACCGCTGTTGTTCATGCAGGAGAAATCCTGCCATTTAAACAAATACGTTTCAGGAATGGGCCAACTTTTTGCCACTGAAATTTATACACTGAAATTCAAAAAGTAACATGTCTGGTCTAAGGCAAACCTTAGTGCTGTAAGGATAAAGAGAGAAAGAGACATCCCCTGTTTGCCAGGATACAAATTTTGACAAGTAAAGATATAAATGCTTCCTCTCTCCTGCTCTGTTCCAATTCAACATGAGATCTTATGTTGAAGGGTGGTATATAAACAAATAAACCCCTTCCACATGAAAGCTTGCCTCTGTTTTGGACTGTTTGCCATGCCTCTCATCCAAACAGACCCCCTGCCCATATACAATCTACAAAACCTCCGCTGTCAGAGGCAGTATGCCTCTAAGTATCAGTTGATGGAAATGGCAGGATGGTAAAAGTGCTGTCAAGCTCAGGTTCAGCTTACAGGCTTCCCACCAGCCCCACTATACAAATAGGATGCTGGACTAGATGAGCCCCTGACCTGATCCAGCAGAGCTCTTCTTATGTTCTTAGTCCCCCTAAACTGCTCTCACTTCACTTCTCCAAAGGAGCAACCCATCTCCCCTCCCATTCTGCCTCAGGCTAAAAACTTTCTTAGAATCACAGTTGGAAGGGACCCCAGGGGTCATCCAGTACAACCATCTGCAATGCAGGAATCTCAACTAGATCATACCTGCAGAATCTTAGAAGCACAATGTGCCAGGTCTTAAAAGGAAGCACAGCTGGTTGGACTTCCTTGGACTCCCAGGTGAGCATGCATGGTTCTACCACACACACACACACACACACACACACACACACACACCACCAGCACGCGCACACGTACAAACCCACAATTTATCCACACAACAACCCTGTAAGGAAGTTAGGCAGAGCAGTACACACTTGAACCCGGATCTTCACCATTTTAGTTGAAGCTATGGAACTGGCTCCCACAGGAGGCAGTGACGGCCACCAAGTCTGCTACGCCGGACCCTTCCCTCCTTACCCCCACCCCGTTCTCCTTTCACATAAGACGCACGTACTACGTCATCTGCACAACAACCCCCCTGTGAAGTAGTTTAGGCCGAGTGGCGGCGGGTCACGGGCAAGCGGGGATTCGAACTCGGAGCACCTCGGCGCTCAGTCCCTCAACTTCCTGCCCCCCCCGTGAGGACTCCATCTCCCATCAGCCTCAGCCAGCGCGGCCAGCGGCGAGGCATGCTGGGAGCTGTAGTCCAGCAGCCACCCAGAAGGCGGGAGCGCAGGTGAGGGAAAAGCCGCTCTAACCACTACCGGGCGTCAGGGGCCCCTCAGCGCCTTCTGCTGACTCCTCCCCCTCGCAGGCCACGCGCGCAGCGGCGGACCAATCCCCGGCGCCCGTGCGCGCGGCCCCGCCCCTTTCTTCCCTCCACAGCAGAAACTCCGCCTCCTCCGGCCTCCCTCAGAAGCTCCGCAGCCACGCCCACTTTCCTCTCAGAACGGGAGGGGGACTCGCCTCGCCCTCCTTTCTTGTCCCCCCTCCCCTTTCCCCTCGCCCCGTTTCCTCTCCGTCCGTCCCCCCACTTTCCCCTCACCAGTCCAGGCCGCGCCGGCTCCTTCATGCCTTCCTTTGTTGCCTCCGCGCAGCAGCTGTGGACGGAGCAGCGACGGAGGCACCAGCGGCGCATGGGCGCCTCTCCTCGCCTGCCCGCCTGCCTCCCCCTGCTGCTTGCCCACCCCAAAGCGGAAGCACACCAAGCGCCACTTCCGGCTCGCTCTCCTCTCTATAGAGATACGAAAGAAACAGAGCGAAGCGCTCCTACCACTTCCGGCCTCCCGTCGAAAAACTGGCTTTCCGCTCTCTCAGGGCGAAAGAAATGTCAGAAAAAGGGGCGGGGTTCATCAATGAGCGGCTGAGAGCCAGAGCGGCGCCGCTTCACGCCATAAAGATTCGGAGCCTTCAATTGTTCACCGGAAGTTTAGGTTGCATGGTCACTCTACAACTTTTCCTATATTTATGTCCGTCGCTCTTTTAGCCCTTCGTCCACCAATCAGCGCGCTGCTGTCTTTTCCCCCCCCTCCTCGCTTCCCTGGGCGCGCAGGGCAATCCTATGCAAACAGTGGGGCGCGCAGGGCAATCCTATACTGTATACATCTTTACTGGGAAGTGCTTCTACGTTCAGTAGGGCGTGCTCTGTAATAAGGGTGTGCAAAGTGGTTGTGTAAACCTTATCTTCCTTTTTTTCCTCAATGGTAAGCATCAAAATCATACCTATACATCAATAAACTTAACAACCACAATAAAAATCGCCCCCACCTCTCACCCATGTATTCAACGAAGTACATTAAACAACCATTGTCCATGCGTAGATGAAAGATGCCTGTTTTATAGATTGCCAGACAGGAAAGTAATGAAAACAAACCATAATTCCATACAATTTTGGGGAGTCTTGAGTTCCATTTGGAGCTTACATATATTTTCTAAATTTCTCCATTAATGCCACCACTGTCCATACATTTTGTCTCCATATGGAAAGTTGCAAGTACCCTCAATTTTTCCAGTTTTGTGCAATCAGTTGTCCGGCTCCCACAAGCAACAATGTTATTAGTTCCTTAATTTTCAAGAAAAGTAAGGCTGCGATCCTAACATCTCTTACTGAGCAGTAAGCCCCATTGAATTCAATATGCCATACTTCTAAGTAGATGTGTATATGACGCTAGCAATACATGGAGAAAGGAAGGGTAGAGATTATAATTCTACAGTACTATAAATTTTAAAACCATAGAAGCCCAGATGAAATTTCACTATTTTCCTTGAATCAGATCATTTTAGGCACACCATGCTCAGTCACCCTCAATCTAACACCTGTGATGTGGAGATATTAATATTGACAAGCCTTACAGGGTTGTTGTGTGGATGACTATAAAGTTACTGTATGTGATACTTTCAGCAACCCAGAGCAGGACTGCAAATCTGACTGGCTGGGGCTGATGGGTAGTCCAAAACATCTGTCCTAAAGTATTAGAATATTATTTAACTTTCATATTTAGTCATCATTCATAATTGTATCCAATAAGGTCCTTGTGTGGCAGAAAAAATAAAAAATGCAGAAGGATGCTACAACTTTAAAACCAAAATCAATTAGAAAAGGAATATGTATAGGAATGTGAATTTTTTATTTTTGAATGTTTGGTATTGAGATCATTTCCTAAGGATTCAGTGCTAGCAACCTGCATTCTGCATCATACTGGAAATAAAGATGTGACCTGCAACAAAATGTTGTAGTGTAGCGGAGCAGTTCAATGTTCTACTCAGTCAGCCCTGCCCTCTTCCATTCCATCGCCTTTGCCATCCAGTTTTTCTTTTTTTCAATTTTTTTATTGGTTTTCACAATATTATAAACAAACAAACACACAAGACAAACAAACATACAGTATTAACTTTGTTAAGTGACTTCCTCGCTGTCCCCTTGGTTGAATTTCATTGCATGTCCTTTTAACGGTTTTCCAAATCCCAATTCTTATGAAATTTAACTTAAACATTAACATCCTTAAATCTTCACCTTTATGGAATTAAACATATTAATTCATCACTTAACATAAATAAATTCCTAAGCCAATTAAGTATCTGCAAGCTGTTTTCAGTTAATTTAACTTAACAAATTTAACTAGATAATCATTAAATTTAATCCACTCTTCCTGATACTTGCCATCCAGTTTTTCATTCCTCCTCCTTCCTACGCCTAATTTTAGGGACAGGTGAATCTGTTGGTTTCAGATTTTGCCTATATTCTGTGCTTCCTGAATGTTCTCTAAAACTCAATAAACATAATTTATTTAAAAGAAAGAAAGAACGAACAGCAGTTTTCCCCAGCCACAATATTCTGGGGGTTGTCGTTTCTGTATAATATATTTATTTTGCTTTTAATCTAAAACAAAAACAAACAAATCTAGGAATAACATTTCTGCAGGGATGGGATGTGACCCGCATCTGCAGCGCAGGAACAATGTGCAAGGTGCAGTACAACCAGCTTGCCCTTAGGGGGCAGCACTTGCCATTGATACTTGGCTGTCTCCTCTTTAAGGCGAGCTAGCACAATTGAAGATGAAGCCTGATTGCCGGAGCTAAGCAATTGCCGGAGCCAAGCCGATGACATTTCCTTTGAAAGCTGTTTTCTAAATGGCCCAGACACTTGCCTCTCTGAGCCTCTCCAAGGTAGTTTGCAGTGTGCTGCTCCTTTGCCATGTCAGATCAGCATCAGGTAAGACTGGTCAGCTCTCTATGTCTAAGGGAAGCAATGTGATTTGTAAACCCTGAGATGCAAACATGCACCGGAGATTTTATTCTGCCAGCATCCCAGGACAAGAGCATGGCTATAAATATCAAGGTGTTTTGGCTGGCATACAAGGGGCTGCATTAAAATCTAGCATTCCACATTGCACCGTTCATTTCAATTATATTCCAGACCTCTAGAAGAAGGGCAGGCAAGAATTGCCTTACATCTCAGGGTCCGGTGGGGTTAAAAGATAATAAATGGCACCTGAGTTGGTGGACAGTGACTGTCTGAAGAGCTGGCTTTTCACAGCTCTGGCGTTGATGGCTCTATGTTCTGCTTCTGTGCAAGATGGAAGAAGGCGTGGCAGGAGCTTTTCTCACCCAGGACATTTCCCCATTGGGGGAAAAGAGCGAAAAACAGCAATTCTGCATCAGAAACTTTTAATCCTAGGGACAGGGCCTCTGGGAGGAATTTTGAACGTTTGATTTGAACATCTTTGTTTACGCACAATACAGATGAGGAGAAAGAATTCACATTGAAACACTATTTTATATTGCAATGCAGATCAGGCCTTCAGAATACATTAGTATTAGTTTTAGAAAGGTAGATAAACTTACTATTCACTTTTTAAAAAATGCTTTTCTGACCTTTTTGTGGAAAAAATTTCCAATCAGCACGTGAAAATGAATTGTCCTGGCAATGTTTGTTTGGTTCAGTAGCCTGGCCAAATCCACAAGATGTTCCTGATTGTAACTCTTTATTAGCTTGCTTTTTGTTAAATGACCTCTTTACAGAAGCTCCTGCTGCTGCTGCTGGAATTGTTAATAGTATTCTTAAGCTAATGCAAACATTTGGAAACAGCCCGGTCACTGAGTCCTTACTCTGTTAACATGCTGAACAGATCTGATGGCTTTAACTCTACAATTACAAAATTTGCTTTACGTACAGAGGGCAGATGTTCGTTTCTTTTCCAAAGTCATCACCATTCAGGTCGGCAGGATATTGCTCTGATAAAGCTCTGGGGTCAAATACGGCCTTTGAAGCCTCTCTCTGTGGCCCATGGAATTCTTCATGGGTTACGTTAAAAATTGGGGGCGTCTTATACATGGATAGTGTATCCCCCCATTTTCTTAATTTGGAGTCGTCCCCCCAAAAAGTGGGTGTCTTATATACAGGGGTGTGTTATACAAGGAAAAATACGGTAATAATAAAATGAGCAAAAAGCAGCATCCATATACCATATACCAATATGTTACATTCCCTGCTCATTTTTCACCCTCCAAAGTTTGGAACCAAGTGGCAGGAGAAAGTACAGTTTCTCAAAGAGCTGGCTTTAAATAGCTTGCGATTTATCACACTCCTGGATTTGTTCATCACACTGGTGTGTTAACATTTGTCATCAGTTATGGCTGGGTAAAGGAACATTAGGAATCCAAGCAATGCGGTACAGTGTATTTATCCTTAGGTGAGAGAGAAAACTCTGCTGAGTCAAAGAACTGGCCTGCTGGTCTCCAGAAGAACATTTTGTGGAAGGTCTTGTAAGCTCAAGGATCCCATTTATCATTTTTTATTATTAACATTTAACAAAGAAAAGGAAGGCAGAAGGGGGGGGGAGAATTAAAGTCAATAAAAAACAGAAATAATATATAAATGATACCAATAGTAACAAACAGAAAACCCCCACCATTCGTTCACATTGCAGATACAATAGTCATCAGCACATATGTCTTAAGGTTAACATCTAAGTTAATAAAAGCCCTCCAGATGTCCAGATCAGTATCAACACAAAATTAACACCAGGCTGGAAGTATAAGTAGCATTTATCATTTGCAGTTTTAAAGCAAGATGAATCCATCCAACTAACGTCAAACCAGTGTTGCTCATTCTCAAGTTGTCGCCTGCCCAGAAAATATTTTGGGTTCAGAAGAAAAATCTACCATTCATTTATTTAAATACAGTGGAACCTTGGTTCTCAAACTTAATCCGTTCCTGGAGTCCGTTGGACTCCTGAAACCATTCGAAAACCAAGGCGCAGCTTCTGATTGGCTGCGGGAGCTTCCTGCACTTGAGCGGAAGCCGTGTCGGACGTTCAGCTTCCGAAAAACGTTTGAAAACCGGAACGCTTACTTCCTGGTTTTCAGCGTTCGGGAGCCAAAGCGTCCAAGTACCAAGGCGTTCAAGAACCAAGGTATGACTGTAGTACATGCACAGCTTAATGCCATATTGCATAAGCAGCATTCAGTAGGGATAAAGCATGCATCATAAAATTCACTTAAAAGTAAAACTAGGAGAAATAAAAACTTGAAATGCCTGCTGAAATAATAATAAATCATGAAGTCTTCCCCAAGCCCTGGGAGTTCAACAGGGAGGGTTCCTATTTGTTCGCTGCAGGGCAGAAGTTTTGCAAAACTGGGCCCGCAATGCTGAGTTCACAGCTCTTTGTAGATATGAGCTGTGCATCTGAGCCACAGGGGACCACAAACAGCAACTATGAGCTCCTCTATGGTGTGCCTAGGAAATGAAAACATAGTGGTCCTTGCTTTGTTATTGCCATAGCTGAGGCTGCAGTCTTACCTGGGATCCCACTGAATTCAACAGGGCTTAAATTTACTTCTAAGTCAGTATGGTTAGGATTGCACTGTGAATTTCTGAAATTGTATACATTGATTTTATTTCTTCAGTCCTGTACAACTTGGACATTACCAATGACGGCCCCATCACGACAGAAGCACAGGCTACGATTCATTCCACGTTGCGTATGAAGGATGGAGGCAACTCACCCGTTAGTGACCGGAAGTACCATTTCAACTGGGTTTATGCCCCTTTGACTTTGGTAGAGAGCTCCGAGCATGGCGCGGACTCCACAATTATAGTGACCAGCCCATTTCCTGGAGTCTTTCCTGTTTCCGTTCAGGTGACGCACACAGACTGCTGGCTCTGTCAGACCATTGCAAGAAACCTAACGGTGCTAGAGGTGTCAGGTAAAATGTGCATATTTTATTATGTTTTCCTGTAAGAGAAGGGGGTCTCGTACAGTGCTTCTGAAGATGTCCTACAGGGCCAGCTCTAGGTTGAAGGGAGGCAATATCTGTGGTGGACTCTCCACCCTTGCCTGTGACCTTGTCTACCTGTCCATGACTCACCTGACTAGGGTTTTCTTGATGGCAGTGGCTGGATCTGGGAAGCCACTGGCCATGTTGAACTCCCACTACATCCAGTAACTTTGCAATGATGGTTCTCCTAGGTGCATCACTTCTCAGACGCCTCCCAACCCTTCCTGGCTCTGGGACAGCCTTCCCCTGTGACCATTGCCTTTTCAAAAAAAATACTTTCTCAATACAACTCCAAAGCTCATCTCTGTTGCTCACCCACATAATTGATGAGAGCCCTCTGCCATTGCCAGGCCTTGGCTGTCCTCTGGGGTGAGCCAGGGATCATGGGACCAACCAGTGATAAGGACCACGCAAGAACCACAGGGTGAACAAAGAAGCAGCAAGCCATAAGTCAGGACTAAAGCACTGTATAGCGAAGTTTGGGAGACACAGCCGAGCTAAGGATGAAGCTGTTGCATAAGCAACGCCCAGCTGGAACAGGAAGTCCTCTTATATTCCTTCCTCTCTAAGAGGAAGGGTGGACAGAGAGAACTGGTCTGTGTAGCTACCGGTACTTATTGCGGTTGGCTTCCATTCTTCCCACTTTTTAGTCTCAGCCAATACTCAGAATTTTTTTGTTCCATTAAAATGCACTTCCCCCTGATGAGCAACTTAAAGTTTTAGTTGATACCATGTACCAATTAAACTTGATCAAAGCTGGGGAAATCCCAGTATTTGCCTGTCCTCAAAAAGAATAAACGAGAGATTTTCTCATTGAGAGAGCTTCAGATGACTACATATATTCTTTGTATTTTTTTCCCCCGACAGAGTTTATAGTAGGAAATCTGTCCATTACCCAAACAGAGGACCATGAGGTATTTGACAAACTTGACTCCCGAACTCCAACAGGCGCCCAGACCTGGGTATCATTCTTACTTCATGACCCAAGTAATTATTTCGAGTCAGCTTCATTCACTTACAAATGGGATTTTGGAGATGGGTATGTCCCTATTTTTTCTTTCCCTCCCTTTTATTTATACAGATTTTAGCAGAGACCTTACCGACAGACCCCCCCACCACCACAAACATCATTTCTCACCAGGTGGACCTCTGAGATCACACTGAATGATAACCACACATAGAGCACTGCATTGCAGTTATTGATAATTGAGGTTACCAGGCATGAATCACTGTGACTAGACTATCCCTAGCCAAGAACAGTCGTAACTGATATCTGGTTTTCAACATTGCAATACATCACCAGCTAAACATTATGCTATACTGATATATCACCATATCTGAAATAAGAATATAGCTTTGAAGAGGCATTGGCTGGCTTCACGGTTTTTCCTGTATCGTGATTTTTGCATAGCACACACATACATCATGATACACAATATATTGCCAGGTCAAAAATTATGAAACCAATAGCACAGTATGGTCTTCAAAACAGTTTTGGATGATATATTGATATATCTCCCAGTCCTAGCCCTAGATCTTCATTTCAGAGGGATTGGAACATGTCTAGAGTAGACGGCTGACCAATTTCTTTGACATAAGAGCCACTCAACCACAGAGCCTCTGACCACTAGCCATGCTGGCTATGCTCAGGCTCCACAGCTAGAGACCCTAATGCTTCTGAATACCAGCTGCTGGAGGCTAGAGGATGGGAGGGTCCTTGTATGCTCAGATCCTGGTTGAGGGTTTCTCACAGGCATTTGGTTGGCCACTGGGAGAAGAGGATGCTAGACTAGATGAGCCATTTGCCTGATCCAGGAGGCTCAGCTCGTATCCTTAGGGTTCAAACACAGTTTATTGGCCCTGATCCACTCCACCACTGAATCCAGGCCACAGTCCAGATGGTGCATAGTCTCTTCTTACTCAGATGTTAAAGATGCATAGGAAGCAATTCATGAATGAAACCATCAGAAAGTATGCCTAAACAAACACAATTGATTTCCACTGTTTCCCCATCACCTGCAGAACCGAGATGACAACAGAACACCCCACCGTCTACCGCAATTACCCTACACTTGGGGTTTGCACCGTGAACCTGGAGGTGACAGCAGAATGGAGACAAGATGGGAGCAGGATGGAGCAACCAAGGAAGATGGTCCAGAAAACAGGGCATTTTTCTGCTGCTTTGGAATTGATGGGTAATGGCAGGGGAAAGCTAGGCACGGTCTAGTGCTACACTCAGCATCCCTTTTGGTCTGTGAGGAACACAAGTTCAGGAGATCTGATCCGCACACAAACACCACCCGAGTCAGCTGGGTCTCCTTTCCTACAGATCAGTGGGACTGGCAGCACAAAAGGCAGGAAACCAACAGTGAGCACAGCCAGAGCCAACAAATTCTATGTTTGTCCCCATCGCCCTCCTCCCTGCAGAGTTCCACAAGGGCGACACTGAGGCAGAGGAGGAAGGCGGCAGGTAGGACCACTGTTGTAAAGGGTCAGACAAGAGGAGCTGGCCGAGGGCAGCCTGAAATTGGCAGGGCAGCTACAGATTCTTGAGTAGGCTATGGAACAGGAACAGTCCGCAGCATTCAGTGTAATGCCGGGTTGGTTCAGAAATCATCATAATCATATTTTTTAATTTATACCCCGTCCATCTGGCTGGGTTTCGCCAGCCTCTCTGGGCAGCTCCCAACAGAACAATCAAAACACAATAAGACATCAAACATTAAAAACTTCCCTAAACAGGGCTGCCTTCAGATGTCGTCTAAAAGTCGGATAGTTGTTTATTTCCTTGACATCTGATGGGAGGGTGTTCCACAGGGTGGGCGCCACTACCGAGAAGGCCCTCTGCCTGGTTACCTGTAACTTCACTTCTCGCAGTGAGGGAACCGCCAGAAAGCCCTTGGCACTGGACCTCAGTGTCCGGGCTAAACGATGGGGTGGAGATGCTCCTTCAGGTATACTGGGCTGAGGCCGTTTAGGGCTTTAAAGGTCAGCACCAACACTTTGAATTGTGCTCGGAAACGTACCAGGAGCCAATGTAGGGCTTTCAGGACCGGTGTTATGTGGTCTCAGCGGCCGCCCCCAGTCACCAGTCTAGCTTGGCAGAGATCGAAAGACACAATGTTTGTGTGTTGTCCTTCCCAAACTGGCCTCAGATGTTCTCGCTTGCTGGATTCCACTTATCTCTGCCCATCGCTAAAATAAAGCATGTCTAAGCTCAGGCCCACAGGGAAGGAAAAAAAAACATTCTTTAGCCTGGGCATTCTTCCCCTCATCTCAGCTGTGAGGATCTGGTTAAGAAGTGAGAAAAGCACTTTGCACATGCTTAACTGTGCTCACTTTGCTGAGCGGGGAGGTTGGGTTCTCTTTGTAAGGAGGTCTGTGGCACATTTTGGAGTATTTGCATTTGTTTGCAGATATGCGGGTTGTGCATAGGTGGCTGTGCACAGCTTGAACCAAATTCTGTTGGCAACAGGATTAACCCTTAAGTTGCCAGCCGAATGATCCCCGCTGTTGTGCTTCCAATGTTATCCCTCTCAGATTTGCCCAGAATACTAATTACATTAACACCAGCGCCGAATGCTCTTCCTTCAAAGCACAAACTTACGGTTCTTAACCTCTCTACCTCAGATGCTGTCAGGGGTATTAACATTGTCGGATCCACAGAGGCTCATGTGATGGAAAACTTAAATTTATCGCTGCATATCCAAGGCAGGTAAGCAGCCAGCAAAAAACAAAACAAAAACACCTATATCAATCATTCTACTTTCCCTTCCGATCTGCTATTTGCATTCTCCTCTGGGGTTTCCTAGGACAACAAGCACCTCCTGAAGGCATAGGAAACAGGAGCTGAAATGTGTATCAGTTGTCTCTTAAGGAATTCTCTGGTGAGTGGGTGGTTTGAGGAGCATCCCAAGTGCCAGACAGAAAGTCTTGGGAGGCTGGATTTGGTGCCTGGACCCAAGGATTCAAGTTACAAGAAAGGAGTTTCCAACTATAATAATAATAATTGGTTATTTATACCCCGCCCATCTGGCTGGGCTTCCCCAGCCACTCTGGGCAGCTTCCAACAAAATATTAAAATACAGTAATGCATCAAACATTAAAAGCTTCCCTAAACAGGGCTGCCTTCAGATGTCTTCTAAAAGTCTGGTAGTTGTTATTCTCTTGGACATCTGGTGGGAGGGCGTTCCACAGGGCGGGCGACACCACCGAGAAGGCCCTCTGCCTGGTTCCCTGTGACTTGGCTTCTCGCAGTGAGGGAACCGCCAGAAAGCCCTCGACGCTGGACCTCAGTGTCCGGGTAGAACGATGGGGGTTCTGACTAAACGCCAGGAGGAGCTTTCTGAGAGTTAGAGCTGTCCGAGAGTGGAACAGTCTCTCTCGAGAGGTGGTGGACTCTCCTTCCTTGGAGGTTATTAAGCAGAGGTTGCATGGCCATCTGTCATGGATGCTTTAGCTGAGATTCTTGCATTGCAAGGGGTTGGACTGGATGGTCCTCAGAGGTCCCTTTCAGCTCTATGAAATCAAGGGTTTATTAGATCAGAAGTAAACATGGCCAAGTGCATTGCTTTCACTGGGTAGACTACGCCATGGGCAGCAGGGAGAAGCAAGCAGCTAACCTCTGAAGGATGAGATAGCTGGTGTTTGCTGTCTGTACGGAGGTCCAAAGAGCAGGAATCTGTCCCGAAACGCAGCAGGACAAAGGTCTGTTGTTGACTCTTCTTCAAGACACAACAGTCACATTGCCGGTCAAAATCTGCCACATCATCTCTAAAAACAGTCGCTGAGCTAATGAATCTGGAGCGGCGGCTGTTTTTGGCTCTCTTATCCATTTGCACTGCCAGCCAGATTGTCACGCTTCTGCTTTGGCAGAGGCAAGAAAATACGTAGTAGAATGTGTGCGTAGGGGAACATAACAAGAGCTCTGCTGGATCAAGCCAATGGCCCATCTGGTCCAGGATTCTGTTCTCACAGTGGCCAACCAGGTGAGATCATCTTCTGACGCCCTCCTTCGTGTGCCCCCTCCTTGAGAGGTCCGGAGGGTGGCAACACGAGAACGGGGCCTTCTCTGCAGTGGCTCCCCATTTGTGGAATGCTCTCCCCAGGGAAGTTCACCTGGCGTCTTCATTGTACATCTTTAGGTACCAGGCAAAAATGTTCCTTTTTAAACATGCCTTTGGTTGACCTGATTGACATCCTATACCCTTTTAAAATGTGTCTCTTTTTTGGGGGGGTGTTATTTAAGTTATTGCTTTTATATATTGTGATCTTTTCTGTGAACCACCCTGAGACCTCCGGGTGTAGGGCAGTATATAAATTCAATTAATAATAAGTAATAATAATAATAATAATAATAATAATAATAATAATATAATCATAATAATCACATGTCCCACTAATGTACACATTTAAATGCACACTCCACCCTGGTGTGTGCATTTCTGTACATTTCTGTACACATTTTACTTGGCTGGAGAGCTGCATTGGAAAATTGAGTCAGCACATGTCAAAAGATCCCAGTGTTTCGGTTCACGCATTGTTTTGGAAACTCCCCGTTTGGTAGGCTTGTTTTGAAATGGGAGAGGAATCAAATGTATCCTTTATCCCTACCTGGGATAAAGTCCCATTTCAGCTTGATTCTGAGTTGGCACACAGAAAATTGCAGCGCCGGCCACCTAAAGCAGAATAGAGCTTTTGTCCTTCTTTCTTCCCAGCCTGCCTCTCCACTTGTGCTGGTTAATCAAGACCGAATGCGTTCCGCTCGACAGGGACCACTGCCACCTGGTGGCGATGAACGCTACGCACTACAATCTGAGCCACGTCTTCAGGGATGCTGGGCAGTACTGCCTTAGCGTGCGAGTGGAGAATGGGGTCAACATGTTGCAGTCGTACCAGGAGATTCAAGTGAGGCCGTCAGGTGAGAGTTAGGAGAAAAGCTACTCCACAGTTGGAAAGCACATATATGTGTGTGTGTGTGTACGTACACACACACACACACACACACACACACACACACTAGGAGAATTTCATTTATAAAAAGTCTCTTGGCCACCATTAGGGTGCCTAGAACCCATTTTCGCTGTCAATTGTTGTCAATTTCCATACAATGGGTATATAGTTCAAGAGCCTATTCACTTCTGAATATCTTAAATTTTCCTGTAGTGTCTTGCTTCTGTTGAGCAGCACTTTCTCCCCAAACCTAGTGTGGGACACAGTAAAAGCATGTGTTTCAAGGAAGCATTGTCCATATTACACATCTCCAACAAAGAGCTACATTAGATAGGGAGTCCAATAGATTATAAATAGTATTTTGTGCTGTATAAGTTTTGGTGTGTGCACCAGTGCTTCTTGCTCCATTTCGACTGGGCCCTTTACATTCCTTCACCTTTTCTCCTCCTGCACAAGATTGATCAGCGTATTTAGGTGACCCCATTGGGTTCCAATATTATGAGAAAAGGGGCTTAAGTTTATCCACTTCTTCTACCCCTTGCATAATCCTACACACACCTCTCTCTCTCTCTCCCTCTGTCCCTCTCTCTCTCTCTCTCTCTCTCTCTCACACACACACACACAATTTCCCCTCCCCCCCCCAAGTGCAAAGCCACTACAGTCATACCTCATGTTAAGTCTGCTTCAGGTTACATGTTTTCGGGTTGCGTACCGCAGGAAACCCGGAAGTACCAGAACAGGCTACTTCCAGGTTTCGCTGCTCGTGCATGCGCAGAAGCGCCAAATCATGCCTGTGCAGATGCGCCGCTTTAGGATGCAAAAGCTGCGGGTTACGGACGTGCCTCTGTCATGGATTATGTCCACAAACTGAGGTTCCACTGTAATTCCATAAGCTTTCCTAGGGAGGGAATTGCTCTAACCGCCCAACCATTTTGGTTCCCCTTTCCTATACCTTTCCCAGATGTACAACAAGGAGTGCAAGGAACCCTCAGGCCCAGGGGCCAATGTGGCCTCCATGCCTCTCTACCTGAGCCCTCAGATCTCTTCCCACAAGCCCTGCTTTATACCCTGAGCATTTCTGTCTACATGGAATAACTCACCGAAACGCTTCTCTGGATGGCAGCTAGAGAAGGGCGTGTGAATGTGTGTAGAAACTCGCCCTGCTGTACCAAAGTCAAATGTGCATAGGTTGCTCCACCCACTCTGGCATCTGGCCCCGCCCCCCACCACTGACACGTGGCCCTCAGAAGGTTCCCAGAAGGCAATGCGGCCCTCGGGCTGGGGGGGGAAAAATCACGCTGCTCCTTTTTGAGTTGTGGCAACAGGAGCTGGACATAGAAGCCCAAGTGTGGTCACACACCTTAGATTCGCACAAAGGCGTTGAGATGTTTCCTGTTAGATTTCCAATCTAAGCACCCTCCTTCTCCTCTTCTCCAGGCATCCACCCAGCTTTCTTAGCGCTGCCTTGCATCACCCTCTTATCAGCCATGCTGGGGTTAGCTGCCTACGTGACGTTCCGGAGCAGCGCACAGCAAAAGGATCTTGTGGAGGTACTTCCGTAAAGGCTGCTATGCTCACATTGGGGGCTGAGGAACGCAAGCCGAATTTAACCTTAGTTGCATCACAAGCGGGGCCTGCAATGAAATGTTGCCTCATGGAGCACAGCTGCCACTCTGTTCCATTCCTCAAATCATGTTCGGGTCCGAGGCCAGATCCCACAGAGCAGGCAGCCAGGTCACACTCTGTATGACCCCAGGCTAGCTTCTGAGAGGAGACTGAGCCTTTTAAAGCATCTGCCTGCCCCCCAGACCACCTCCTCTAGGCTCCACCCTCTTGTGCATGACATTAGTGCCTTAAAGGGGCCAACACTCTGGCCTGAAGGCAGGTCATTCCTCCTCCACTCCATAGCCTTCTAGTGCGCTCTCAGCTGCGCCACCCGACTGGTGATGTGCGCCGGGAAGCAATTTGCTTCTCAAGCTTGGGGGAACACACCCTCAAAGGTCCTGGCTCAGGCATGAGAGCTTGCCTCCCATGGGCTCCTGTTTATCAGTCCCAGGCTCAATGGTCTCTTGGCTATGACTCCATAGATGGAGACTCTGCAGCCCCTGACTCTGACCCTTGATCGCTGCTAGATCCTGTGGTCCTGACACCCCATGTTCCTGGATGTCCCCCCTGTTAGGATCGTCCTACTCTCGTGTAGGACCCTGGCAGAGACACATGCCTGATTGGCATGTTCTCTCCCTCCTGGTCGGTCGGGAGCTTCAAAAGCTTTCTTCAGCCTGAACATCCCAGCGACCAATGCCAACAGACATCGACACACTTACGAACCTGCAAAGTATTGGCATAACAGAACTCAGTAGCACAGCATTTTGGCTAATCTACTTTTACTTACATATAATACACTCGGAGCATTCTGACTTAGCTCCTTCCTCTTTCTCATCAGACAGCAAAGAGAGAAAGAACAAAGGACAATAGTCCTACATTCCGGAACACAGTAGTACAAAACATCCTGTCTCCGTCACTTCCCACTCTGTGGAATGAAAACATACACCGCCATGTGATAGACAACAATCTCATGACTGCAAACACGGAGCAAGAATCCTAACACCCCCCACCAACAGTGAGTCAGGCCAGGCTGAGAGGCAGTGATTGGACCAAGGTCACCAGTGAGCTTCATGGCCGAGTGGGGATTGGAACCCTGGTCTCCCAGGTTTCGAATCCAGCACAGTAGCCGCCACCCTACATAATTCTCCACAGAATTAGATGCATTGCTGAATGCATCTGGCTATTTTCCAAAAATGCAAACTTACAAGCATACTTAAACTTCTCCAAGCCTTTGAAGCCTTCACAGGGAACCGGCTTTGTCTTCCCCATTGTCAAAACACAGGTTGCCGATTTTGACTTCTCCCCGACATCCGACACCTCACCTTCTGGCTCCAAGTGGAGCTGCCGTCAAATGTGTTGCGAAACCTGCTGCCTCTGGCCATCTCAGGAGTCTTGCGAGACGATCCGAGAGCATCACCGCCTCCTGCGCCCTTTGCGTGAGCCAGTGAAAATGTACACCATGTGAAGAACAGGAGCTTCGTTTGCCATATACTGCTGCTGTCTTGGCCTTCTCCTGTCCGCCTCCTCTCGTCTCCATGCAGGGGTGCTGCATGGACAACCCGTATCTTTTGCTGGTGCATGAAAAGTTGACATCTGTGCTAGGGCCCTGGGTTGCAGATTATTTCACCAGGTCACCCGAAAAGAGCAGACTTGGATCTGCACTGAGAATGCATTCTTATGCAGCAGGGATGGGGGAGCCTCAGCCCTTTGGGCCAAATGTGGCCCTGCAGGTATCTCCTCTGTCTGGCCCTTGGGACTGCTCCGCACCTTCCTTAAGTGCTTTTGCCTTGCTGGATTTTGCCCTAGAACTTCCACAATGCCTCTTGCTTGCCTAGATGAAGAGATGTGCTTGCGTGTGTGAAGCATGCCTGAAATGTATCCTGTTGCCAGATGGTAAGAGCCATTGTGCTGCTCCACCTCTGGTCACGCCCACTTTTGCCACTGGCCACGGCTACCCCAGACATGCAGACTCTGGAAGGGCTGTCCACGAGGGACTGTGTCCCTGCAGCTGAAAAAGGTTCCCCACTGCTAGGGCTGGGCGATATATTGATATACAGTGGTACCTTGGTTCTCAAACTTAATCCGTTCCGGAAGCCCATTCCAAAACCAAAGCGTTCCAAAACCAAGGCACGCTTTCCCATAGAAAGCAATGCAAAATGGATTAATCTGTTCCAGACTTTTAAAAACAACCCCTAAAACAGCAATTTAACATGAATTTTGCTATCTAACGTAGGGTTACCAGATGGAACATGGGGGCCCTTTTATTTATTTTTTTGAAGCTGAGTAGCAACAGGGAGTCAGTAGTGGAGATGGTGAGGCAAAAGACCCTGGGCCCAAGCACACATACATATTGTATAAAGGTGCAAAGCCCTTCTTTCTCACCCTGTGAAACATAAATGTGCAGAGGTGTTTTTTTAAAAACTGGGCATCGGCTGCCTGCCCGAGCCTCCTGAGCCTCCCCCGATCTGTCAAAACAAAGGGGGAAGGGGGCAGGATATCTGTACCGCCGGAAGTCCCCTGTTCATGCAGTGGCCGGTGGCAGTGGGCAGCTCCTGAAGCCAGCCAGAGCCAACTGCGCTACCAGGCTGGCTCCAGGCTGCTGAGGCTGCCGCTGCCACATTTCCCAGGGACAGATTTGCAAATCTGGGGACATTCCGGGGATGGAATTTGTCCGGAGACAGATTTGCAAATCCAGGGACTGTCCCCAGGAACCAGAGACGTCTGGTAACCCTAAAATTCTAACGAGACCATTGGTCCATAAAATGAAAGCAATAAACAATGTACTTCAGTCACACAATCATCAGTCAATCAATCAATCAATCAATCAGTAGCTGAACTGGGTTCCACACTGTCACAAAAACAAAACAAAAAAGAGCTGCAAAAACAAAAATGCAAAAGAAATAGCAAAAACAGACGGACCTCAGTGTAACGCTCAAAACAGAAGTGTGCCCCGCAAAACAGAAGTGTGGCACTCAGATCGGAAGTGTAACACTCAAAACGGAGTACATTCGGCTTCCGAAAGAGGTTCGCAAACTGAAACACTTCTGGGTTTGCAGTGTTTGGGTTCCAAGTTGTTTGAGTACCAAGGCGTTTGAGAACCAAAGTACCACTGTAGTGTCCAAAACCAGTTTCATAACTTTTGGGCTGGCAATCTAGCACAAATCATGATATGTGTGTGTGTGTGTGTGTGTGTGTGTGTTATGCAAAAATCACAATATGGGAACAACTGTGAAGCCAACCAATGCCTCTACATAGTTCCTTCCTTATTTCAGACATATATCGATATATATCGTGATGTTTGGCTGGGAATATATCACGATGTTGAAAACCAGATATCGCCCAGTCCTACCCACTGCTAATATGCAGGCTTACTGGGAAGCAAGTTCAACTGAGCTCACTAAGACATATTCCACAGGAGGTGCATTCAGGATTGCAGTCTAAAATGGCTGGTTTTGTTTTTGTTTGTTTTTAAATAAAATAAATGTATGCTCTATCTATCTCACACATATATATGGCACTTATATTGTGTAAGTGTCACACTTTAGTCAGAACTTCAAATGATTTTATTTTGTAGGATTGGGAGGGGTGAGAAATGTAATTTTGCTTGCATCTTAATTTGCACTTTTTTGAACGGAGAAGCCAGCTAAAACACAGCTACCCTTTGGAATTTGCGTGTCTCCAAATCTTGCAGCTCTGTTCTGCAACAAAAAAGTGTGTACAGCAGTGAAAACAGCATACAGAAATGCATTCTGTTAGGGAGTTGTTTGCAAAAAGAAGAAGTGTGGCTTAATCAAAGTTGTGTACAAGGATGTGTTTATTAGGGTAAATTCGCACGTAAAATGCTGCTGAATTTTCATGAGGATTTTTTTTTTAAAAAGCAAATGGCTGCAGATATGAACTGAAAGTATGACTGGAAGACAGAGAAACAGAAGGAAACAAAAACTGACAGATCCATCCCTATTGCATGTGTTCCTCTGCAACCCATGAGATATACTTGACCATCATGTTTTGTTTTGGTTTTTCCATTTTCAGCCAAAATCCTAAAGGGGGACCGTGTCCACCCCCTCTGCCTTTCTACATGTGTGCCTTTGGATTGCCAATCAATATGCTACGTATCTGAAGGAAACTCCTATTTCCCTCCTTCCTTCTGTCATGGAACCCAAGGTGGCTTGGTTCCCGGATGGTCAGCTATCCAGGGACTGACCAGACCCAGACCTGCGTAGCTTTAGCAAGATGGTGGCCTTATTTTCCTCTTCCCAACAAACCAGACATCCTGCTTCGTAACTTGCCTTTTGCCTCAGTTATATTAATTATATTCATAAAAGGCATCTAGCAACTACAATTTCACTGGTAGATCTCACTTTAAAAGAAGGGCACTTCCAGACACTGCTTTGATAATGGCACAAAATCAGAAGGCACTTCAGTGAAGAGGTAACTTCTACCACCAGCTCTGCCGGTCTACTGCGCAGGCATATTGGCAGGCGTCCGTATGTACTGCAGCAATCAGAATAGGGATAAGAAAGAAAGAAAGAAAGAAAGAAAGAAAGAAAGAAAGAAAGAAAGAAAGAAAGAAAAGGAAATGGTACCAGAGCCGAGGGGGAAAGCCGCCATCTGGTAACTTACTTCCTTCTAGCAGGAAGCAAGGGCTGTGTTGAGGATGTTATATGGCTGTCAAGCCTGCAAGCTGTCGAAATGTTGTTTATACTTAACATAAAGATGTCACATTTCAAAAGAAGACCTTGAAGTGCATTCTGGGATGTGCATTTCCAGCAAGGAAGGCACCCACCAGAGATTCCCTCTGACGCCCGTCACAAATGAAAACAGAATAGGCTCTGCCACCTCTGTTTTACCACTCACTGCCTCAATAAAGCAAGTTCTGGTGCCCTTCAAAAATGGTGTGCAAGTTACTTTTTGGCAGAAAGAGGTTACCAGAAGGGGGGATACTTCTTGGTTTAGGGCTTGATGTCCTTGAGGTCTACCCCCATGCCTCTGAAGCCTTTGGACCTCCTTCATTATGTGGTAGATGGGGCTGTTACCTTCTCCTCCCTTGAGTTGAAACCATATAGCCTAAAGAGGAAGTTAGGAGGATGTTCTTTTCCCACTTCCGTTTTGGCTTCTTTGCTTCTTTTCAAAGCCCAGGTCCGGCTTACCGAATCCGACTTGTACCCGGATTCCTTGCATAAGCAAAGTGTGTTCATGTGTGTCTTCTTTCTCTCTTTTGGGGTGGGCGGGCTGATTTGGAGAAGTCGGTGAGAAGTGGCGATAAGCAGTGGGACTTGCTTCAAAATCCAGATGTGCCCATGGCCTTAAAAGGTTGGGGATTCTGGCTTTGAATGTAGGGTTCGTTTCCCAGACAAGCCCATGCAAACAGGGGAAGAGGGCCATATTTTTCGATAACTATCTAGAGATGGACCATCACTCCATGGCAGACCATGTGATTTACACTAAATGCAGAAGTACTATCTTTTTATCTATCTTGACTCTTCCAGCATTCAGCTTCATTGGGTGACCGTGAGATTGGTTTTCTCTCTGTGCTCAACACTGCATAGGGCAGTTTTCTATTTCAGATCTGTATATATCTCTGCATTTCACAAGGCCTGAGAACCTCATTTTGCTGCCAATTTGATAGGCACTCAACTGCCCTAGTTAGCTATTATAGAGAGAGAACGATCTCCTTGAAATCCACCTTACGGACGTCAAAGAAAATGTAAGAGTGTCATTCTGAATGTGGCCCAAGAAGCTATTTCCTGCTCTGACATTAAAAAAACAACAACCCTCCATGAATTAATCTGTAGATTCATTAATTTGCAGTTGAAGACTCTTGACATTCTACCTTTTGAAAGCAAAAGACAATCTAGCAACAGAGGAGGGGGGGGCAAGGCAAAGCGAGCAGTGGTTGTGCCCAGAAAAGATAAAGGAGGAAAAAAGTCATCCAGAGAACTGATTTTTTTTTTAACCTTACAGATCAATGACCTGGAAAAAAGGAACATTCACTGCTAAAAAAGAAAGAAAGAAAAGATGAAACTTGCTGATTTGGAACCAAGGGTTGCAGGAGTACAGGCAAGAGAGCAATTCAGTCAAAATAATAAGCACCAAATATAAAGATAAGTGCTTTATTATGCAACTCTCTGAGCAAAATTATGAGGAAACGAGTCTTAGGACGGAAGCCTATATTCCGAGGACATGGCATAAAAACAGCAGAGCAGTGCACAATGGTTGTTAAGAAAAATAGCTGAAATACTTCATCACAATTAGCAGGTATTTACCATTAAGATTAGGGACGCGGGTGGCGCTGTGGTCTAACTCTAAACCACCGAGCCTAGGGCAGGGGTCTGCAACCTTTAAGACAAAAAGAGCCACTTGGACCGAAGGAAAAAAAACTGGGAGCTGCAAAACCATTGCAACATTTAAAATAGTGGGGAGTGTCAGGGCACACAATGCGCCTCCTCCCCTCACTAGTATCCGCCCCGGAGCCGCGGCAAAGGTGCAAAAGAGCCACATGCGGCTCCGGAGCCGCGGGTTGCTGACCCCTGGCCTAGGATTTGCTGAGTGGATGGTCGGCAGTTCAAATCCCCACAACGAGGTGAGCTCCTGTTGCTCAGTCCCAGCTACTGCCAACCTAGCAGTTCGAAAGCACATCAAAGTAGATAAATAGGTACCACTCTGGCGGGAAGGTAAACGGCGTTTCTGTGCATTGCTCTGGTTCGCCAGAAGTGGCTTAGTCATGCTGGCCACATGACCCGGAAGCTGTCTGTGGACCAAAGCCAGCTCCCTTGGCCTATAGAGCCAGATGAGCGCGCAACCCCAGAGTCATCCGAGACTGTACCTAACGGTCAGGGGTGCCTTTACCTTTACCTTTACCATTAAGATTAAATCACTGAGCTGAAATTTTACAAAACTTTGCAGTGAATCCCTTCCAGGGAATATCCCTGCATATTAAAGGGTCAGGAATCTCCCCTGCCCGCAACTTCTTCTAGGATGCTTTCTGAAGGCCATTAGGGGCTTGGGCAGTTCAATCCCCTCCCCACAGCTCTGGTTTCTTTTTAATCCCCCTCAACATTCTGTAAATCCTGGAAGATCACAGGTCTTTG